CAGAGGATTTTATACGAAACGAATATTTAGTATTCAGTTTGTATACCAAAGTAAAGGCGATGGTGGTGCGGGGTGCGGGGGGAGCATCTTTGAGTAGAGAACCTAAAAGACATCTCCGTAGTCCGTGACTTTGTCAAGCATGCGAAATACTGCATTCCCTACTTAACTTGACTGCGACAAATTAATGTATCACTTTAAAAACTCCCAGTTTAACTTTATAATTTACTGTGGTTCTAAATATTTAGAAGAATGTATATTAACTTTTAAATAAATAACACGACATTACAATTTGTTTAGTGTGTATATTATATTTTATTTTGTGATACCTTTAAATTCGATTTCTTTCTGCGAAATAGAGGTTTTAATTAATAGTACACACTGTAGATTACTATCAACTTTCGTTAGCTTATATATTATTTTTTATTTTGATATGAAATCGAATAGTATACTTACTTTAATTTGCTCAATACAAACAAAAGTTCAATAACAAAAAAAATATTGTTTTATTATATAACATAAATAGCACGTTTGGACAAAATGTAATAAATTTAAGCCTACAAGTTTTATATTTTGAGTTTACCAACTTTTAACAAACCAGGAAATAATTTTAAACAAAAAAAAATACACTATTTCAAAAAATATCAATTAAATTTTCGAATCTTCAATTACAAACCCAATAAGGTGCGAATTAACGTGAATACTTGTTAGTAAATTTTCTCGAGGGAAGGGAGCTGATCTTGTGGTTAGAGTGTGGGACTTCAGTCCCTAAGGTACCGGGTTCAATTCCAGCCTAATCACCAATGTATTTTATCTAAGTGATTATGCCGCAAACCCTTAGGTCTAGCCTGAAGTGATGTTAAAAACAAATCCGTGCTTGAACCTAGCGTCCTAAGAGAAAAAATTAAATTACCTCGAAATAATACCGTGAACAGATAAAACGTGTATATAATTGCAAGATGTTCCTTGAAAGGGGTTTCCCTATAAAAACGGACCTTGGGGATATCGTGGGGGTTCGTGACTTCCCCCCCCTCCCCCCTAGAATTTCCTCTAACCAATGATACCAATCCCTAGTGTATTTCATTCTCTTTATTGTCTCCATGAGGAATTCATTTTGTTTCTTTATGATTTCTAGCGAGGATCAATATGACATTAGTTCCTGCTTGTCCCTCTCTTCGAGTTTGATTTTATCTTTCTGTAACTGTGTATCAGGAAAATGTGTTTACTGGACTTAGGTTACTGTATTTTGGTATGGATCTTTACTAAATACCAAAATTAATCAGTAAAGTTCTATCAGACATTTCTAAATAGAACATTAGCATACATAAATGTGTTAACGAAACAAACTTTAGGGCCCATCATATACATTGGCTACTACCATTGACTAAACACACAGAATGTGATAAAAAAGTGTAACATTTGCTACAAACTTTTGTGTAACTAAAACCAACCTACAAAATTTTAACGACTCCGAAAACGTGTAAAGCAGGTTGTGGCACGAATAAAATTTTAATTATGAACACTGTTACGTTCAAACCGGTACGACTCTCCGATTCCCGGTGCTGCATTTCTGAACGAGTCTTTTTCTTTTCCAACAAGCAATAAAACATCTCCACTTCGTTGGCTAGGACTACTCCACTCCACTTAACCTATTTCCAAGTCAGCTGTTTAAATAATTTCTTACGTTTCCGCTTAAAACCGGCATTCTTGCGGTGTTTTTGAGGTTAGTTGCAGTTACCGAGTACTCGGTGTTTCATCCGGTTGGCGACTATCGGTTGATGGTTCGATATTGATTGTTGCTCGTGACTGTGTGATATTCGTATCAAACGGTTGCTTATTGAATCAGCTGTTTATATTGTTACATTGATGTGATTATAATTTTATATGTTTGTTTCATTTAATAAATCTACTTTTAAACATTCATGCAAATAATAAATGTGAAACAAGAACAAAGTTAATGCAATTTTTATACAGTTTTTAAACTTTAAATATTTATTTATTAACAATTTATTGAGGGTGTATAATTATTATTTTTTATCCTACAGGATTATTCGTACCGGTATTAGACATTTTAATTGTAATGTTTTAACAAAGTTTTTCATGTTATTTTTTGAAGAGCCCATTCCAGGAATAATATTAGGCCTAACCAGAATGTAATAGTTGTTAACATCGTTAACAATTCCGTGCTCAAACCTAGCGTCCTAGGACAAAAAAGTAAAAATATAAATAAGTAAAAGCTTAGATTTTAGTGTCATAAACACACATTATAATTAGTATTGAAATCAAATTGTTCAAACTTTTGTTCATTATAAAATTGTTCATTATAAGCTTACAATAGTTTGCTGTAAACAGTGTAGTATATTTTGAGGGAAATTAGTGTTTAGTTTTTCTCTCCTTAATCCTAAATATAATAATTATTTTACCTTCAGTGTCTTCCATAATTTTAAGTCAACAGTTATCAAAAAAAATACAGTAGGTAGAAAAGCTTTACTAAGAAGAAAATAAAACTTTTTAGGTAGCATAGGCCAACTTCGTGCAGAGTTAAAACACGAATAACAACAAAACTACATCAAACCTTAACTGTTTAGGTGAAGATTTTGTTTAATGTACTAAGCTTCATGCTACATCTAGTGAACTAAAAATAATACACACTTGAAGATACTGTATCGCGTTTTTCAACTCTAAACACAGACTCTTTCAAAGACCTTGATTCGCAATGTTAGTTATTTGTACCAGATGTCTACACTTAAGAGGGCCATAGGTCAAGAGGGATTAAAGAGTTCGACTGACCACTGTGTGTTCTTATCAATCAATGCTTATCATTGTGAGCACAAGGCGACTTATCATTGCTGAAAATAGAACCAATCATCTGGTAAACATTAAGTTTAGTGAACAGCTGATTAAGCCAGTTTTCCTTGTTGCCAATTTTAGATGTAAAAATAAACTATGGCCATCCTATTTGTAGACATTTATGTAGTCCAGCTGATCATTTCTACCAAAGTTATAAGTTTTACCTTGACTATTGAAATATACTCAGTTCACAATAATTAGGCGGTTTTGAGGGGAAGTTCCTCCACCTCTTTTTGTATTTAATGTATGTTGCTTAATCAGCTGTTGAGCTATTATTTTAAAGGTAAGGGTCAAGTGGAGGGGATGGATTTCTTCCCCTACAACCGCCTAAATATTGTGAACAAAGTATAGACACATTCCATTCCCTTCTTAAAGTTTTCACTAATTTTTAAATCGAAACGAACACAGTTAATTTGAGCCACCTACAGATTGCGCTGAATTTACTGATTTCTGTCGCATATACAATTGAGAAATACTTTTTTATCCAGATTTTTTATATAAAAAAGTTAAACTGAAGGGATGAATTATCATAAGTTATAGAATATTATATCACGTCAACTGTCTTAGTAATAAAAAAAAACTGAAAATTGATTGATTTGATTTAGCGCAATCATTAATTGGCTCACTAAAATACGGACATTTTTAATGAAAAGCTGGTCCGTATGTGATGGGATGTCTTGTATACCATAGTGTACAAAAGTCAATGGTTCTCTAATGCTAACGTGATTTTGTAATACAAAATTAAGCTCATTAAATTATTGATGCCTCATTTAAGTTGAATTAGCTATTGTTTCTGATCAAATTAGATTCTAAAATTTCAATCTGAAATGTAACTTCATTGTGTGCTACCTGTGCTACTCATAAAATGTTATAGAGTTTTTACATAAATTCATTTCATAGTGGTTTTAAATATTTATAGGGTTAGCCTACTAGATGAGTGTGTTTGATTTCCTTCAATATTATTTGCATCAGAGATAATCAGAAGAAAATTAGCTTAGTTAATTTCTATAACAAAATTAGGCTTAAACATTTTTTTTTGGCGTGGGACTAGTGCTACTTATTACATCGGAAAGGTTAATAGCAATTCATTGTTATTGACAAAAACAGAATTTCAACACAGTGCCTAAAGAAATATCATCGATATTTAAACGATCAGTATATTTTTGAAATAAAAATTTTTTTTTACCTGTTAACTTGGTTATTTTGTTTGTTTGCATATGTATTTATTTTTCACCAGGAAATGCGAGCAAACGTAATATCCTTTCACTCCAAAGACCTTCTACTAATAAATACTTGTACTCCACACAATAGAAAACAATTCAAAGGATTTAACACTCTATGAGCCTCTATGGAGCCGAAGGTTTTCATTTCCATTGCTAATTTAAAAACCAAAAGCACTTTGGCAAAACCGAGAAATTTGCTACAATGAGATAATGAACCGAGGCCATGTCACTCACGTTAAAGCTTTTAGAGTTGTAATTCCTCTTTGTTATATTACATTGACAATTTGTATAATGAACCAGTGTTCCATTCATTAGTATTGTTTTCATCATGATAGCCGTTTGAAAAGAGATATTAAAATGCAAATTGTGATAAAGCTGGCGTAAAATTGAGTTAAATTAAATTGACTCTGAGGAAGCTTCATGGAATTTGAAATTAAAACGGAACTGAAATAAGAAATTACATTTAAATTAATTTTAATTGAGAATGAATAGAAATGTAAACTTAAAAATGAAATTGATCAATATTGAAAGTGATTTAGGTTGATTATATAATTCAATTGTTTTGCCGTATGATCACTGAACTTGAATTTTGATATCCCAAAATTAATAGTTTGCCGTGCTCGCCGCAGATGATATTAATGTCCCTGTGATTGTTTGAGATGTTCATTGTTCATAACTTCACCGCGATCGCGGATGATGGTGATCATGAACTCCCTGAGATCTCAAGAGATATTTCCGTTTTTATCGTGATTGTGGGAAGTTCCATTTAAGGGGCGGATGCCGCTCAGTTAATTTTGCCTAGGTCTGCAAGTACCCTACTAAATTTGTGCTGGTAATATCCGACTTTTCACTTGGCTTAGCAGATTGTGTTGTATAATCAAGACATTTCAAGACTGTTCTATATTTTTACCTGTAATGTTGATGTTTCAGGGATGTCACCCTGTACAGGAGGGCAAGCTAAACGTTCATCTCATTCCTCACACACATGATGATGTCGGCTGGCTCAAGACAGTGGACCAGTATTATTATGGAAGTGAGTAATCCTAGTATTTTAGGATTTTGTTTTCTTGATGTTAACGCCATTAGCATTTTTACAGGAGAGGTAATGTATAGTGTTCTCAAATAACGCTTTTAGGGAAAATGATCCAACCCATATGAGTTGTGGATGTGTCAGAAATTAAACATGTACCGCCCGCACCGAAATCTGAGACGCTAACCACTAGGCTAGCAACACACCCATAATGATGAGGTTATAAGGTTATTCAAATCTGCTGAGTTCACTGGTGTGACAAAAAAGCGTAACGCAGAAGAACGCAGGGTTAGCTAGACTCCTCATCTTAGACAAAGCAGCACTATCTTTTTGGGGTAAATAACTATGTTTGGCTCTGTTTCGAAAAAAAAATTCAAATCATTCCATTTTTTACTACGGTATTATTTTTTGTTAGAGTTGACAACAGGTATTCAAAATTACAAAAGGTAATAGTAGTTGATGCTTAATATTGTCTATATTGTTCGCAGGCAACAAGGTTCACGCTCACTTCGGTGTCCAATACATCTTGGATTCTGTCGTTTCTGAACTTCTAAAGAATAAAAACAGACGGTAAGATATAGTTGAAATATTTTCACTAAAATATGTTCACATATTTTTGAAAGAGTTTCCCGTGGTGTAATTTTTTCAGTAGGTAGTGTTAAGAAGAGTATGAGAGCTTTCGAACTAACAGTTACGGCGTTGGCAAAACCGTGCTGTCTTGCAGCCATCCACTGCCACCGAACCGGACAGTTATCACGCAGAAGCTGTGTGTCAGTGGGGCATGTGAAATGCAAGCTATCACACTGCACAGTTATTTGTCGAGGAGACCACCAGCCAGTGCAAATAGATCAGCTGTTGAACTGTTTATCGTATACAGTTGGACTTGTCAATTGAACACTGTTATGTTTATTTTAAACATATTCATCTCACCCTGCGTGCTATGTGAAAGAAACATAGACACGGTGTCAAACCGTACAGTTTTTAAACAGACAGCGAAAACGTTTGAGTGTGAATACTGCCTTTACTCAGGATCAAACCAGCTACCCTATGATTACTAGTATCTACCAAGATCTCAGCTACCCAGCTAAACTGTTAACGTTGCCTCACACTTTATCCTATTCCAGGTTCATTTACGTTGAGAGTTCGTTCCTGTGGCGATGGTGGCAGGAACAAGACGAGGACAGTCAAGCGTTAGTCACCAAACTCGTACAGGAGGGACGACTGCAGTTGGTCCACGGAGGATGGTGTATGAGCGATGAAGCAACGCCTCATTACTCTATGCTCATCGACCAGATGGCCTTCGGTCTCAAGTAAATGCTACTACTCTATGTATCTGATAACCCACACCTACTTTAAGGTTGTTTAATGGAGTCGTGGTTAAGGCTTGCGAGTAGATAGAGTTACAGAAGCAGTGGTTTAATCAGGGTACAGAAACATTCCATACTGTTTAACGTAACACTTTTCTTCCTTCACAAGTTTTTTGGTTGCGATGAAAAATAATCAACGTTCAGTGTAAACAAACAGCTGCTCAAAGAAGTAAGGGAGGATTAGACCGAGTCGGTGACAGATATCCAAGGTTCCTGACACCAAGTTAGTGTATTTAGGTTTGAACGTAAAAAATTCCCTCGGTCCAAACAAGCACACTGTGGACAATCTACAAGTAAGTTACATGAGAAAACAATAATCTTATTTAAATGTTCAGTTTTAAGTTACTTCCATTTCTCTCAACTCCTGATTACTTTAGGTTCCTCAAGGAAACTTTCGGGGACTGCGGAGTTCCAAAAATCGCTTGGCAGATTGACCCGTTCGGCCACTCTTCTGAGGTCGCACTTCAGTTCGCTGAGATGGGTTACGACGCGGTGTTCTTCGGAAGGATTGATCATGAAGACTATCGAGAACGAACCGTCACCAAGTCCATGGAGATGATATGGCGACCTGATACTTCTACAGGTATGAAAACTGTCGAGTTACAATTAAAAAAGATTAGACATGAAATAATAGGTTTTGTAATTTGTTGAAAGTAATATGGTAGTATCTAAAAAACCTGAACAGGAATTATTACATCTAGGATTTACTCACCTTATTGACCGAACAATAAATATTGAGACAAAAGCGCAAGGAATAGAATAACACAATTTATGATACTAAACTTCGTTTGATCTTTGTATTTCTTGCTCGCAAATTTGTTTGCATTACCCAAACTGAATGTCTGGTACAATACGTTATCAATAAGCTACAATCTAAACTTGTGGAACTCATAGAAGGCCAGTTCATTGCACTCAAACGCTTTGTAGGCCAGCAGCACTGGCGATAAAACATTTTTTTTTTAACACAAAATGTTGATTTTAAAGTCTGCTTAGTGATAATACCTAGTAAGCAACTTTGAAACTGAAATATTTCTGTGCTGGCGTGAAGAAGCTATCTTGCTGAGCTTTCCTTCAGAAAAGGGTTGGCCAGTGGAATTGGCAATTGGAAAAAGCAGCTTATTTTGAAAGAATTCTGTGCTATTTACATAAAAATGTTGTCAGTACAGCTGGAAAATCAATAGCAAAGGGTTTTACATTATTTCGTTAAACCGTAAATTAAAATCCCCACTTACTTACACAACTCTAAAGATAAATAAACATCAACGTTGTTTGACAGGGGAGAGAGGAGAGCTGTTTACGGGGATCCTGTACAACCTGTACATGCCTCCTAACGGTTTCTGCTTCGACACATACTGCTCCGACGAGCCCATCATGGACAACCCAAAGCTGCACGGGTACAACGTCAACGAGAGGGTAAGCTAAGCAGTCACTGTCTTATTTTATTTCCTTCTGTCTTTTGTACTTTTCTATTATTTCAACCTCACTAGTTTAGTTTTTGTTATTTGGTCAGGCCAGGTAATGTTAACTTTTGTAGTTTCATGAAAAGGTTTTCCTCAAAATGTCGGGGATCAGCATTTCATTCATCTCAAACTATCGTATTTAAAGAATACCGTACATAAATGTTTTGCTAACAAGTACTGTTCCTAACTACGGACTTGAACTATTGACCACAGATAAGTTTCTACACCTTGGAATTTTAAACAGCCACCATTTTGGCTAGGATGAACCTTTTTTTGTTGAATTTGCAAAACCGTGTTCTCTTAATAGAGGCTGTTAATTTGATGTACCTCTTATTTGCCTATGCTCTTATTAAAGATTTCCTTCTGACTTCTTGTTAGCTGTCCCCAAGGAAAAGTTGATAAAAGTAGATACTTCAAAAAGTAGATACTTCATAAAGTAGATACTTACTTAGAAGTAGATACTTACTTAGAAGTAGATACTATAAGGAAAAATTTGTTGCAACAATCTGTAATAGTTAGAAAAAAATATTGATCTCAGACTTTTTGAATCGTCTGTATAAGTAATCAATTTTTAAACGTTAACTGTCCCTATACTGGTAGAAAAACATCATTAATTGAAAGCCCAAATGACAAATCAAATCTGGGTCTGTTAACACCTCTCTTGGAACCAAACACCTTGATTCAAATTGAATGCAGTTTCCATGTAGTTAAAAACGCTTAAAATAAACTACGATGAAAGATTAGATTGTTGAATTTGATTTGTTTCAGATATCAGACTTTGTGAGGGAAGTGCGTTACTGGGCCGAGTCCTACAAGACGAGACACGTACAGGTGACAATGGGAGGAGACTTCAACTACATCGTTGCCTCCTCGTGGTTCAAGAACATGGATAAACTCATCAAGTAAGAACAAAATCCACGAGTGGTTCGTGTTCATTTTGCTTTATGGATTCTGATTCTTTGTCTAGAATAATAATTAAAATCTTGAAGACAGTAACATAATTAAGGTTGGTGGGTGGCGGGAAGGGTCTACCATATGTTTAGTTATTGATTAATATAATTTCATACCACTCACTCAGTCCTCCAGCATAACTTTCAAAACGTTCCAAAATCCTTTTTTTTTCATGTCTACAAAAATCTTCAAAAATATTTCGACTCTTGTCCAAATACAGTAAATTCTCCTTTGTGGGTAATAATTTCGCTTAGTTTGATTCAAAAATTAACTTTTTACAGAAAATTGTATGATTGTAAATATTTTTGTTCGGAGATAATGACGTAACTTGTAAATATTTAAGTTTAGAGTTTTTTACCAACTATGTCGTTTCCAGATACATCAATGCCAAGTTCCCAGATATCAACGTCCTGTACTCCACACCAGCCTGCTACGTGAAAGCCTTACACGAGACCAACACCACGTGGCCTGTCAAGGATAATGACGACTTCTTCCCTTACGGAAGTGACGAGCACACTTACTGGACTGGGTACTTCACGTCTCGACCCAACCTGAAAAACATGGTCTACCGTGCCAACAATGTTCATCAGGTAAATACGTGTTAAATTTACTACACCTTAATTTTACTGTTACTGCAGAGTTTGAAAATTTACAATAAAAACATTCTCTTATGTTTTTTTTTCTTGGTTTAGTGTTTTGCTCATCGTATTCACGTTTCTCTTGACATGGACAGTGGTGTAGTGGTGAGAAAACTCTTGGGAACGGCGTTCACGCTCTGCTTTTCCATAACACCTATAATCTATATAATTAATTCGCTACATGAAACTTTGTCGGTTGAACTCCTCCGCCATTTCTTAGCCGATTTTATCCATTAACGTCTCATTGGAAAGAGCGTGTCGCGTAGATTTGCAAACTTTCCTTACATTTTTGAAAAAGTCCCTTGGCCTCTGCCCCATTGGCTTTGAAAGTTCCCATGTTATCCTTATGGAGAACACAATTGTTTACATTTTGATCAGCTGTATAATTTAATTGCTGTTATTTATTTTTCAATACAAAGTCTTTTAAACTCATCGGAAATTATGATGACTTTTATTTGTTTTAAAATAACTACTTTACGGCTTTGGAATCGCTCGATTTCGAGCAACGTGTTTACTAGTATCAATTAAATTGTGACTCAAGTTTTTTTCCCGAGACGATAATGAGTGTTTCCGCACTTTAAAATTCACGACTACACCATTGGGTATCATCGTCGTTATCAAATTAAGATGGGGACACCTTCTATGTGTGTATTTTAACCCAAATGCCAGTGAAGGATGAGTTTAGAATGGAGTGAGATGATCATGATGATATCAACCATTTCAATTCATCTTCTACTCTTCTAGTCCAGGCAAATTAGACAAAAAAAAGGCAGTGCTCCCCAAAAAATCGTCTAAAGCTGGAAAGTGTTTTAATACCTTTTGGGGGTCCCAAATAACAGTTCTGTGAGTTTGCGACGGATTCTGATGTCTGCTTAAGTTTTGGGAGTCGAAAAACTATGAAAATTTTGCACTTTTTTCAGTTTTTCGCTTTTAACTCCTAAATAACGAATCCTACGGAAAATGTTGTTCAAAGGAGTCTTTTAGTGCATTAAATTCTGCGTCGATTGGTGTTAAATACGTCAACATCGGCCGAGCCGTTTAGCCGCAATAGCTTTCTAAAGTTGGGTCATTTTCATCAACATGGCCAAAATTTTATTATTTGACCAGTTTTCGGCTTACAACTCCTAAACGACGCTTGCTATTCAAAAATGCACCTGTAGTTAGTTTGGAAAACACAAAATTCTGCGTAATATGTTTTTTACTAATGAATAATGGTAATTGATTGCTATCTACTTTGTATGGTCGCCATTTCATTGAAAAAATATTAAAGTTAAAGTTGGAAAATTTTACTAAAATTAATATTTAATATTAATATTTTTTCAATGAAATGGCGACCATACAAAGTAGGTAGCAATCAATTGCCATTATTGATTAGTAAAAAAACATATTACGCAGAATGTTGTGTTTTCCAAACTAACTACAGGTGCATTTTTTTATAGCAAACGTCGTTTAGGAGTTGTAAGCCAAAAACTGGTCAAATAATCAACTTTTTGGCCATGTTGATGAAAATGACCCAACTTTAGAAAGCTATTAGGGCTAAACGACTCGGCCGATTTTGACGTATTTAACACCAATCGACGCAGAATTCAATGCACTAAAAGACACCTTTGAACAACATTTTCCGTAGGATTCGTTATTTATGAGTTATAAGCGAAAAACTGAAAAAAGTGCAAAATTTTCATAGTTTTTCGACTCCCAAAACTTAAGCAGACGTCAGAATCCGTCGCAAACTCAGAGGAGTCTTATTTGGGACCCCTAAAAGGTATTAAAACACTTTCCAGCTTTAGACGATTTTTTGGGGAGCATATGTCTAATTTGCCTGGGCTATTCCACATCTTAACTTTACTTATTTTTTAGTACCTTTCAACTTCAAACTATAGCTTATTCGTGCATTTTCTTTAAGGATCTTTTGTGAGATCATGTTCACCAAGTCGATGTGAATTTAGTCTCCTCCAACTTGATTTTTCTTTCTTTTTCTACTTACCTTTCTTACTTTTCTACTACTTTCTTACCTTAGTCTTTCATCTTCTTCTTTCAATCCGTCACTTAACGCTTTCCCTTTAGTCTTCTTCCAATTCCTTCTTGTCTTATGTCTCTTTACTTCAGGGTTCATTTATTTATTTATTTTTTTGTTTCATACAAACCGCATCCAGTGTTCTTTTAAGCAATTTCGATCAAATATCCTTAACATAACTATGAAGAATATAAGTGGCTATGAACGAATTGGCTTATTTTAGTATTCTACTAACAATATTTTTTTAATATTTTCAACATCGTTGTGTCATAAGAAACAATGACAATCTTGCAGCCCAGAACCCACTTAACGTCACCAATATACAAAGGAAACAACTAAATTTTGCTCTAAGAAGATTTTGTTAAATTTTTTCACCTTTTCATAAATTTTCTTTCTCAAGGCTATGAAGCAGTTGGCCACTTCTCTCAGTCCGGACACGCTGGTGGAGGAAGAGATGTTGATGAACCGAGCGATGGGCATCACGCAGCATCACGACGCGGTCTCTGGTACCGAGAAACAGCACGTGTCCGACGACTACGCTCTCTACATCAGTCAGGGGCTGGATGCATCGGAGAAGATATTCTCTGCTGCTTACAAGTAAGTGCGATAGTTGGGAATGTAGTGTCAGATGACTATGATGTGTTAGTGTTCTTTATTTGCAATCTTGAAATTAATAAACTTCTTGTTGAACTTTTTTGGCTTTTTTACATATTTCCATATACCATATAGGGGGGCTATATGGTATATGGAATGTTTTTGTCAACGTGTTTGAGTTTTTGGTGGAAATATCCGTTTTGGGTTCCCCTATAAGTAGTTTTTGAAGTGATGTTTATGTGAATGTGTAGAGAGTTACAGACTACATCTCTTGACTACTCTCAGACCGATTAATTTTTTTTTTTAGTTTGAAAAGTAGTTGAAAATAGTTTAAAATTAGTTGAAGTAAAAGTTTGAAGGTACTAATCCATAGTATCTCCAGGGTTTTTTTTTCATTTTTTTCATTTTGATTTTTAATGGTGATTTTCTCATAAATTAACCGAAAATTGTATAAAAAATTGCTCTACCGGTTTTAGCTAATGGGAGAAATTATGTGTCAGATTGCTGATTCCGTTTATTTGTATTTTGCTTGTCTTTACTACAGGTCGTGGCTAGGCCCAGACTTGCCTCTGCAGTCGTTCTGTCGCTTGGCCAACATCAGCCAGTGTGAGGAGGTGGACGGAGCCGCCAAGTTTACTGTGTCCGTCTACAACCCTCTGTCTCGTTCCCTGAATCATCATGTCAGAATACCCGTCATGCCAGGCAGCTACAAAGTCATCGGACCTACTGGTGAGTCTAGAAGACATTGTAAGTTAGTGGCTAGCAGCACACTATCGCCAAATGTTTGACTCCAGTTGTGACGACGAATGCTGCAGAATTAAACACACTCGCCAATGTTCGCCGAACATGCTTGCTGGTGGTTAGAAATATTTTAACTTCCGGCACTCGTCTTTGCTCGTCTCCTTTGGCTCGTCCCAAAAACCGACAAAAAATGGAGCACAGGCGAGCACAAATTATGGTGATGCAAAATATCTCTAACGTAAATGAGTAGACCGGGTACACTATCGAGCTTGCCTATATTCGGCGATAGTGTACTGCTGGCATAATAGGAATGTTCTTCCGTGCTGTTGCAATTAGGCAAAGTAGGCATTTGCGTTTGCGGCACAAAGGTTTTGGATAACTAAAATTGTGGAGATAGCATCTGTAAATGTCACAGAGGCGAAATCATGAACATCTCTCTCAATCGTGTAGGTATCTACCCATTTCTTAACAGAAAATATGTTAAAGCATCTTTTGTGTCCCTTTAACTAACTCAGTAACATAAAATAAGGTAGAAAATATAATTATAGAGCACATTCTGTGACTGGCAAACAACTGTGTTCTTTTTTTATAAAAATTTGGCGACAGCTGGTCCTTATAGATCGGACATCTACTTCAGTATCCAATAGTCTTCTGGGGAGCGAGCTGGTCTAGTGAAAGAGCTCAGGGCTTCAGAGCACAAGGTCCCACGTTAAAATCCCGTCAATCACCAACGGATTTTATCTATGATAATGTCGCAAACCTCTAGTAATAGCCTGAAGTAGTGTGTAAATAGTTTCGGATTGAACCCAGCGTCCTAGGATGTGAAGGTGGGACCTAAAACAAATTTTTTTCACTAGGTGAAGAAATCCCAACAGAGTTAATCCCGGTGCCACTAGAAGTACAGAAGGTGCCGGGCCGCAGCACAAACACTTCCGTGGAGCTTATGTTTACCACTGAAGACCTGCCTCCTCTCGGACTGCAGAGTTACCATGTGGAGAGATTCGAGGGAGGAACCATCCCTTACGCCGAGCGACAGAACCTCTCCCTTCCCCTGCTCTCGGCCAATCAGACGGCTCCGTTTGAAACATCCATGGAAGTGCCGGACGACATTGTGGTGGACAACGGAGTGAGTATAAATAGAGCTGTAGGATTGTGGATTAAATGTTTGAATAAGATGGATCAGCTGTGTAATGGAAAATTCATTAAATTTATCCAACTGGTCACTCTACTTCAAAATTTAACTTCTCTAGCGCTTAAAGAGGAAAATAAACTACTAAATTTTTATTGACAAATTGAATATTGGCGAATGTTATCCTGATGAAAAGACTAAGAATGTTTAGAGAAAAATATTTTTTTTGTAAACTGGAAACATTACTGAAGTGGAATAATTGTATATGGTAATCTAAATCCAATGTATGTTTGTTTGTATGTATGTTTGTCCTTTATGGACTCCGAAACCGCTCAACAGATTGTAATGAAACTTTCAGGCATTATTCAAGGATGGTTTGTGTGAAGTTTGGTGCAGATCCGTCAAAAGGGCTCCGCCCCAGTGGCTCTGGTGTTTCCCATGTTAACCTTATGAGTACCTACTCATATTTAAATGGAATTAAAGAATCTTAACAGCTGGTTAATTTGATTCTGTGATGTTCAATAGCATTAAAAAGTTAATAGGTTTACCAACAGGGTGCAGCACTATATTTTTCTTAATTTATGACAAAAGCTAATTTGCAACCAAAAGGTGTGAGCGTAGCGAACAAACTTCAACCAGGACGTGATTGAGCCATGCGAACGAGCTCATCTTGAAAATGAATGAGCATTGACATAAAACCACATTAGGACAGGACAACGTCTGTCGGGCCAGCTAGTAACAAATATAACACTGAAAATAATCATTTCACCGAGTAGTGCAAAAAACTGGGTATTTCTCAATACATGTTTGTGTTTATCACTCATTTCCAGGTATTGCGACTCATTTTCAACATTTCCTCGGGCCACCTTCAGTTCATCGAGCGGGATGGAGAAAAGTGGGCGTTCCACCAGAACTTCTATTACTACGAAGGTTCGAAGGGCTACAACTACAACTCGTACAACCGAGCGTCCGGAGCGTACATATTCCGTCCGGCCAAAGAGGAGGTTGTTCCTATCTCTACCTACGCCAACATCTCTATCTTTAGAGGTAAGGTACGCTGACTTTTTAAGTTAATGGGCATTCTCAAGAGGAAATTACTGGAATCATAAAGGTTTTTGTGTTTCTCCCTAAATTAAAGCATAAAAATGGGTCTTCATGGAGCTCCTGTCACAGCCGAGCAAGCTTATTCAAATTGAAGATCAACATAGCAGTCTTTATTTCATCTACAACTATTCTAACTAGTTTCCACTCCTATGATACAAGTTGTGTCATAGTATTAAACACCGCTGTGAAAGAAAATTTAAGTTTTGGCAATGGATTTCAACTACGGTTGATTCACTTCCCACAGAAAACCTAATCACCAAACAAGAACTATAAAAATATATCAACATATCTACTATGACATTAACACAATTAAGTATTTAGTTCTGATCTTTTGCGATCCTACTCATACTTTTTTGTGTCTTTCACAAGCTTCTTGCTTGCTATACATTTCAGATTCACAATTAATGTTTTCTTAGATATTTCTCTTTCAAAATAAGTTACTATAATGAATCATTTTGTTGAAACCCACTTTCCTCTATTGTTAGATAGAACTGCAACTTTCTATAATGATTGTTACAGGCAAACAAGTAACGGAGGTCCATCAACAGTTTGGTCCGTGGGTCAGTCAAGTGATTCGTTTGTACAAAATGAAAGATCAAATAGAGATGCATTGGCTTGTTGGACCGATCCCTGTCGAGTAAGTATTATGGCACGGTTGTAGGAGATGTTTGAGTAATCTAACAGCTGTTTGTGAAAGAGCAAAAACATTTGCAAACAATTTGTAGTAAAACATTTAGACGGATGCATTTTAGTTGCTTTAAAATGTTAAGGTAAGTTGTCTTGCACTTAAAGGATCAAGTGTATTAAACAAAATTGAATTGGTACAGTACTTTGATATTTTGGTATAGCAATTATACATAGGTTTACAGTGCGTTCAAACAGCCATGGCACCTGAGGGATTAGGAGGCCCCAAGGGTTTCCATGGGGTCTCCTAATCCGTCAGGTGCCACGGCTGTTTGAACGGAGTATAGGTTATTTCTAGTTGTACGTTTTAAAATCAGAGGGTTATCAAAAACTTTAATGAAAGTTCATCTTCATTCAGTACTGTTTTAATTTTGATTTTGACAATTGTGGATATAATGTACCCTAAAATCCGTCCTTTCTTTATCTTCTAGGAAAACTCCAAATCGTTTGATCATACAACTGTATTTTGTAAGGCCTTGTTCATTATTGCATAGCACATTGTGAAGGGGGAAGGGATGGGCCGTTTAGCTAGGCAATACCTTCAATTCAATACAATTCAAAGATAATTTATCCAAAGGTATACAAAAGTATACATGAATGGTGTATCTATTGCCCTTACAATAATCTACTGATCAAAAACCGAACCAAACACAATTCTTAAATACTCTACATTTCAAATCATTACAAAAAACGACATAAGAACTTAATTATCTCCTAAATCAATCCTGTATTGTAAATAATGTACTTTCATTGATAAACTAACGTTTAAACATAATTTCCTCAGCAAGTGGATCGGAAAAGAGGTCATCACCCGCTACAAGACGCAGCTACTTAGTGAGTCCAAGTGGTACACGGACAGTAACGGACGACGGTTGGTCCAACGAATACGCAGCTTCCGCAAGTCTTGGAACCTTACTCTCACTGAGCCGACGGCCAGCAACTACTACCCGGTCACGTCTGCCGCTGTCGTTCTCGGCAACAAACATCGGCTCACGGTGCTTACGGATCGTCCCCAGGGAGCTACTAGTCTTGTCGACGGAGAACTTGATCTCATGGTTAGTTTATGTTTTCTCTCGAGGTTAAAATATTTTAAATTTGTTTCACTCATTTTTTTTTGTGCAGTCAGTAACATGTTCTTACAAACTGCAATTTTACCATAGTGTTTATTTGTATTAAACTACATCAACGCGATTGGCATTTTCAAAATTTTTTGTAAAAGTTCACTTCCTGGTATAATTTATATATCTAACATCGGGGAGCTAGCTGGTCTAGTGGTAAAACACTGAATTTCAGCCCCTGAGGTCCTGGGGGTTCAAATCCTGCCAAATTACCAATGGATTATATAATTATATCTAATTCATAATGCCACAAGCCCTAGTTCTAGCCTGAACTAATTTGAAGTTTCTTCATTTTTTTAAAGATAGGATAATGTTTTTATTGCTCTGTATTCATAGAATCATTGGCCTATATGGGCAATAGCTTAATCTCCTATTTTTGATCAAACTTCCAAAACTAAAGTCCTGGATTGTTTAATTGTTTGCTATACTCAATGAATGAAAGGTTCAAAATAAGTATGGAGGATGAAATAAGTTGTATTTTGTTCCGCAGCTTCACCGCAGACTGTTGTATGATGACAGCAAGGGCGTCAGTGAACCCCTGGACGAGCAACAGTTCGACAAAGGTCTCGTAGCTCGTGGAGTTCACATTGTACAACTCAGCAAGGCCTATAGGGAGGTTAACTCATCAGGTAATTCATTGTCCGTGTTTAACACAATAAATCATCTATGAGTTCTGTAAGCTATTTGTCTTTTGTTTGTGTGTTTTCCACAACATTGGTTATGTTTACGTTAATTTGTAAGGCATTGGTCCAAACCTAATCTGAAGGAGATAATCTAATCTGAAGTTTCATATTTCAAAAAATAGTATTACAAGGATTTGTTTTAGGACTAGCTTTCAACTTACATAAATGTTGAACTCTATCCAAATTACCTATGTCAAAAAGGATCCATATGAAAGAAAGTGTAATGTAATATATTATCACATTTCATTAGCAACAGCTTTTCTCACCCGTTCTAGATGACCTTTGAAACAATAACGAATAAACTAAATTAATATTTACAATGAAAAAAACAAACCTAAGAACATTTTTTTGTTCTTGTTGCAAAAAAGAACAAATTATTGCATAATCAGTTTTGAGAAATTGTATAAACGTAAACCATTTTTGCCTCTTGATTATTGGTGTTTATCCCGAGAACATTTTACCACCATTTGTGGCATCTTCAGCAAGGAGCAACAATAAACTAAACGTATGTTTACATTCATGTAAATATTGACAAATGTGTTTAGCATTAGTGTTGCGCTCTCTGAAGACCACCAATTTTGTAAAATTTGTTATTCCAATCATTAAGCGTTAATAATGATCTGGAAAAAAGTCTTGAAACTTCAATGTCCATAAACACACTTAATTTACATATATAAATATAAATTTTTTACAGGCACGAGTAGAGTAGTACCAAGGGAAAGACGAGCTTCAAGCCTCGCCCCCGCCCCCCCTACTGCCCCCACCACTACGACGGAGCCGATGTACAAGTATCGGGACGGAGCTGTCCGACATCGTATCGAGGCCCTCAACCTTGTCTATGGACCTCTCCTTACTTTCGCTAAAACTTCTCTCTCTGCGTCTGAGTATTCAAAGAAGTTCAGAATGAAGGTAATATTTCTATAATTAATATTGAGATAATCAGATCAAAATTTAATTTAGTATATACAGTAAACAAACAAAAAATATTTTAATTCACAAATATTTTAATATAAACTAAAGTTTCAATGTAAAATACGTTACAATTATTTGGTAACAAACTTTGCTCATATTTTTTTAACATAACCGTTCACTTAGTTTTTGATTCTTAGCATTGAGTTACGATGGTGGTTATTTTCAGTACACAGGTCTGCTGAGGAGTCCGTTGCCAGACAACATTCACCTGTTGACACTAGAACGCTGGACTAACAGCTCGCTACTTCTACGGCTGGAACACCTTTTCGAAGCTTCGGAACACCCTACGCTCTCACAGCCAGTTACAATTCAGCTACAGGTAATTCTTCCAGTCTGCACACCCTAACCAACCAAACAATCTACCAATCAACCAATCTATAAGTAACACAACCTAACCTACTTGTGATCCAAGTTCGCTTACACCTTATCCCGCTAACATGTTTGGACGGAATATTTCAATCCCACTACGAATGCTCTCTGAGAAACTGTTCCGTCCTGGGACATAGCTACTATAGTTTTACATTATTCTGAGAGATTGTAGCGTCGATCCAATCTCAAAAGACTGAACGTCCAAAAAAATTAAGTATAATATGGTGTAGACTTATTTTTAACTTACAACGGTGCCTTTTTATTCCAGAATCTACTGGCAGACTACAATGTGACGAAGGCAGTCGAACTGACTCTAGGAGCTAACGAGGAGGTGGGCAAATCTCCACGACTGTCGTGGCGTCACGAAGGCTCTCGCGTAAACGTCATACGCAAGCCTCTTACTAACGATCTCTCCGTAACGTTGGGCCCAATGGACATCCGCACATTCCAACTGTTTACCCAGCGAGCGTGATCTTTGCCGAAGAGCCGTCTTCTTCCTCAAGTATGATTCTGTGTCGCCGTCGTGCACTAACGTGTCTGTAGTTTGTACTTAGAATAAGAGATTAGAAGACTGGAGGACGAATATTGTACAGGAAGGAAAAACTATTTTTATAGCAGTCGCCCACCGAAATATGATTTGTCCTTCACTGTACGATCAGTTTATTTTATTTTTTAGATAAAAGAATCAATTTACTAAAATAATGTATTTTCAAAATTTTTTTAGAAATTCTATGGTGGATTGTAAGAGTTTTTAGCAGTATCGAAATACTAAGGGGCGGAAATGAGAACATTGCGTTGTTGGTTCTTTTAAGAGATTTCCGAATTAGTTTATTGTAAATATTTAGCACGCACAATAGATGTTTAAAAGTAGACACCGAAATAGCCTTTGAAGCAAATTTTTGTAAATATAATTTTACCTCTGGGGATCAAATATTCTGTTTTGAAGAAAATAATTTCATAATATTTAGTGATTACACTAAAATCATGACCTTTATTGGTTAGCTTTGCATACTTTTTGTAAGCAATTATATCAGAAATACATTGTTTAAACATCATGTCTATTTTTATTGTTTTAACGCTTTGTTTTATAATATTTCTGAGTGACGTTAAATTGTTGTGATATTTATAATAAAAAGTTAGAATAAAAATTATTTGTATTAATGTTTTTATGGAACTTCATAATGTGAAAATAATGCTGTATACCTAAGCTTTACTCACATTTAATCAAGTTTTGTTTTGGTTTTAATTTTGACACTAAAAATTATTTTATATATAATTTATAATTGATAGAAATGTTTTTTAAATCTGTTTCAATTATTTACACTTTATAATGGTTTTACGTCAAAATTGTATTGTTGTAGTACTGTAGTTGTATATCTTTACTTAAACCTATAAGAGCTTGTGTTTGTATTAAGAATGTGTTTATTATTTATTGTGTAAAATGTGAAAGGAATAAACTGAATGATAAGAATCGTAAATACAGTTTCTTCTTTCTTAAACATTAATTATTTAGGAGTTAGTGGAAGGAAATCGGGTAAGACACAACAGAAAGCTATGTTTGTGAAATTACATGTTGAAAATGATTAAATGGGCTGGGCACGGTTATAAAGAGAGGATGGTAATAGATAACTTTTGAGAGAGTAGGAGAAACTAAAGAAGAGACAAGAGATTGAGAAAGATGCAGTGGCTTTAAGAGTACGAACATCCCCTCCACAGCGTCTGGTGGAGTCTGATGACGGTTTGAACTCTTTCCGGCACACAAACCTCCAGTTATCTTGAATTGCCTCATCCAAGGCTAAGGTTTTGACAAGGAGCCTCCTTCCTGAATCTGGTCTTAAATTTACGCTGAACACTAACAATAGCACTAACAATTTACGAGCAAACTCAAAATACTTTTTCTTGTGTTGTAGTAGCGATTTTTTAAACAGGCTTTGTGGTACTCAACTGAGACCAAACATAACTTTGTGAAAACAAATTTATAAACATGCTCTTCCCATTGTAACAATCAGCTGTTTGACATTACAGAACCAGACGTACCAACCGTTTAGTTTTGCACCATTCTTTTTTAATAATCCTGTATAATATTTAGGATTCTTAGAGTGATTGAAAAATTTTTTGAAAAGTATAAGAATCCTTTTTTACCTTTAGAGAAAAGAGTCCTAGCTTACTTGGGAGAATTAAGAGTCCTGGGGCTAATATATACACAATAAGAATACAAAACATGGTACTTATATTTCGTCCCGGTGTAGGTTTTCTTCCGAGAGAAGGTTGAAGAGAAATGCTAGAGTTCATAACTGAAGTGATCTTCAGAGTAGTCACAAAAAAATACTAGACACCATGATACTATACTATAAAAAAAAACAAAAAAGTTTTCTGTATTTACTCAACACTTTTGGGAAAACATGCTGTTATTTTTCCTAAAAGTGTTGTGTAAATTCATAACACTTTTTTGTGTTTTTGTATAGTATAGTGTCATAGTGTCTAGTAATTTTTGTGGCCACAGTTGGCAACTCTGAATATCAGGATGAAACATCAGTATTATGTTTTGTGTTCTTTTATTGTCTATCTATTAGCTTCTAGACTCAAATTTTCTCAGGTAGGCTAGCTGAACTCTATATTAAAAAAAAAAATCGTTACTAGCCAATTGTATTTCCTTAAAATATAACTTGTGAGTGATTATGGTATTTAATTAATCAAATGTTTTTTTTTTATATTAAAACATTTACTATTCAAAACATTAATCACACTATCACAAAGCATACAAATATATAATTGGCGAAATACTTTAAACTTACATAAATATTTTCATTTTTACAAAACTATATTTTACATTTTTGAACTTGAAAAAAATACAACTCTAACAATATTCAACACTTATTTAAGTAATAATGCTGAAACTCAAAAATAATGTCTTACAAGAAGGGGACACAAACTCATACTTAAAGCTAAGATTTGCTCTGATTTTGCACTTTCTTCAGAAAGAACCTCATCTCATGGTTAACAGTGACTGGATCGTCTTGTTGGACGAAGTGGTTTGCGTCTGTGGAAAAAATAAATTATACGTTTTAAACTAAAAAAATAAAGCTACATCTGTTATGAAATAAAATTATGTTTCATGATGAAAATGCTTCTGAATTGTTGAAGGTCAACCTCAAGCAATCCATTATAAAAAAAAAACCATTCGAGGGAATACAAACAGCTGTAGTCATCGCAACTGCACACAACTGTTTGACAGAATCACAGGTAAAATTGGTCTTCAATTTCAATTTTGTTTAATCCTGTAACATAATATTTACAGGAATACTTTGACTAAAATCTAACTACATGATAAGGTCACTGCTCCAATCATGAGAAGCTGGTAGTTTGTTGATAGTTGAAAAAGTTTCCCCTGATTATTGGGTGATTATTAAATGACTCTGGATAAGGAAACAGCTGATCTTAGTCAGTAACAAATGCTAGACAGGTCTTTCACTTCAGTCTAAACTTTTCTTGTATTTATATTCAGCACAAATATGTACACAAAGTATGTTGTTCTTACCATAGACAAAAAGAATTAAATATAGACTGTCAGCCGTGCTGCGGTTACCATCGTTACCATAGGTTCCGGCGCACACCGCTGTAGTTTACGTAGCGCGTACGCCGTAAATACATGGCGCTCCAAGCGGTGTGCGCCAGAAGCTATGGTAACCGCAGCACAGCTGACAGTCTATATTTAATTCTTTTTTTCTATGCTCTTACTGATGTTCTAGAGTGATTAAGGACCTTTCTACATAATGTAGTAATAATAAAAATAATCTGCTATCATGAAACTAATTCCAAGTAAACTATAAGTTTATGTTTTCTTTCAACAAAATATTTAATATTAAATTTCTTTAGTTAATAAAGACCTGTGTATGAAGAAATTTGTACACCTTTTCCTTAAAGGTGTTTATATTGTTTGTAAAATATATAATTGATTTTGGTTCATTACTTAGGCCTACATCTAGGTGTGTATTTCAAACTGAGTAAGAATGCAAGATGAGTGTAAATTGAGCAATATACTATTTAGGTTTGTTATTGTATAAGGTCAGCTGTTTTTTTAGCCAGGGTCATTAATCAGCTGAGTCCAGTTTTGAACCGTCAAAAAAATTCTGACTTTCTTAGGATTAATCATAAAATGATCAGAAATTTCTTACCAAAGAAACTTGTTTTTTGTGGTTTCTTGTAATTTATGTAGCCCAAAATTGTATTTACTAAACTGTGTGTAGAAAATAATAAAAATTAACTAGGGAAAATATTTACCTTTGACATATACAAGTGTGCTGTTTGCTACAAGTCCGATAGTATCTTCTTGGATCTCCTTGTCGATGTAAAGATCTCGATCACCAAACAGGATCAGTCCCGGAGGGAAATCCGGAGACTTCCCGAGTCCGGAGAGGCGATCCCGAGAAGTCAAGAGGAAGTTGGCTCTGTAATAGTTGATAGGGGCTGTGAATCCACCTACAAAACAGGTCAGCTGATAAAAAAAAAATATTAAGAAGTCGAACTATTTAAATTTTACACTGTGAACGTTAAAATAGAAGACTGTACAAATGTACTAAGTACTTAAAAATATTTGGGGTTTAAACAATTATTGTTTATCATAACCTTGACAATTTTTAATTAATCTTAAGGAAAATTTAAATATAAAAAATTTTCAATCTTAACTTCATTTCAACATCTAGCTTTGGAGTCAACCTAAAGTTCCAATGAAGAAAATGTACATGTTTTCTTCCGCAAGATTATTAGGTGATAATGGGGTTGTTGTTGTTTACTTATAAATACCCAACGTTCTGTTATTGCTTCTAAAGCTGGTTGAACCAATATTTGTACAAATCAGTTTGTTGTCTCAAATGCTTGTTGACCTAAGTTAAGTTAGTTATTTCATTTTATATATCAATTTTGAATTTTACAAATGTAATATTACCTTTTTTTTGGAAATGCTATAAACAAAAAAAAACTACCTAATATAGGAAGATTTGAAGGAAATTACAGATTCTGATCAGGCATTTTTATGGCAACAATCATGGCTTTGCACATTTTAAAACAAACTTAAAAAATAGCACTGCAATTTGAAAAACTATCGTTAGTTCGGATATTTCAAGACAAATATATTCATACCTGGTTTACCGAAGTAAAACTTGTACGCCTCAATGTCCTCATCGGTTATCGGGGAAGGAAATTTGATGGATTCTTCTCGTAAACTGAGCTCAATAGTCTTGAGATCGTCCATGCTACACGACAGTTCCGGCAACCAAGGCAGTTGGAAGAAGAAAATGTACCTTGGGACAGAATAAATATTGGGCTATAGTTATTGTTATGAAAATGAAGTTTTTAATAACCATAACTGAAATACATCCTACTTTTCTAAGGAAAAATTCCTACACATTTTCTCTATTCTTATCAATGTCCTATCTAATTATGGTAGCCATCGCTTCAGCCGTTTGCTGGACGGTCGGACGACCTCAGTCTTCCTTAAGCCCCCTTCTTGTGCAGACAATTCCAATAATGTTTCCAGATTTTTGTTTCTTAATTTTATACTTACTTGCATACTACTGTATCTTACTACCGCTGTATGTGATATGTACATGTATTGATGTATTATTGTGTTACTATCTTATTGTATTTAACCGCTTTTATGTTTGTATTTTTTTTTTTTTACTATACTGTTCTGTGGATGGTTTTTGGTTTTATTTTCCAAGCTACGGCTAGGGGTGTGCAAAGCTTGTGTTGTTTTAATTTTTTTTTTTTTTCAAACTTTAAACATTTATTATAAATATTACAAGACAAATAAATCTAAATTACAGATATTACTAAAAATTTTGATTCTTTCAATATATATATTGGATGCCTGCTCCATCTTCGAATTCTCTAGCTTTTTTATACTTTTTTTATATAGTTTTTTATATAGAATACTTTTTTACCTGTAAAGGTAGTCAGATTCCAGATCCAGAAACTTAAAAAAAAACTTTTTTACCAGTTATTGACGGAAAATATCTACAATAATATCTTAAATAACTTGCACATCAAAAATTTACTTCAAACAAATCCACAGAGAAGTAAGATACAGAGGAAACATTCAATGGTACACTTAAGTCATGTCTAGCACTAGTCGCTCAAAAGGTTTCACACCATCTGAAGATCTATTTTAGCCACTCACCAACTCTTCCTAAGCTGGGAAACGCTTTTCTTCAGATATTGATGGAAGGCCTCTGGATGGATGGAGTTCATGATGATGTAAGCGTCAAACATTTTAGGTTCCGTCAAGACCAAACTCCAGGCGACACAGCCTCCCCAATCATGAGCGACCAACGTACAACTTTTCCTACCTAGAACACAATACGTATTTTCACATGGAAAGCTCACCAAGTTGCAGAAAAATACTGGTCACTAACAATATTGATTCCAACCGGAACCAATATAGGTTCTTTTGAAAAAGAAGAACATGTCCCCGTCACACGACACTATTGTATCTATAACAAGCTGTACCCGCGGGCTTTGCCCCGTTTGAATTCATAAGTATTAATAAAACTATTGATGTACTGGGTTGGGTGGCATTTCAAGTGGCTTTTCATGGTTACAACGAAGAACAATATTGGAGGCATCAAATTTGTCCATTACTTGGGAAGTCTATTGTTCCAGTGTACAGGATGAACAACAACTATGCCTCTACTGGTATCTCAGAAACTTAATTTAGGGAAAATACTAAATAGAGAATTTTAATATTTTCTTATGACGTTAAAAGTATGAATTACACTTGTTCAAAGATAGCCGGGCAACTATCAAATTTCTTACTGAACATCTTATATTTTATGTTTGTTTTGGAATGTAAACGCAATTTAAAAACTGTCTGTCTGGAGTTACAGCATGTTAAACGTCGAAAAAGTGGTTTTTGCTGCGTACATTCTGCATCTTGTAGCTCCTAAACAAGGAATTTTAGAGGGGAAATGCGAAATATAAAAAATTCTAAAAATTGCATCTACATACAAGGAAGCAGGGTGCAAGGGAAACTGTCCTGAAAAATTAACTATTGCAATTTAGGCATACCAGTAAAGGTAGTTTCAATTTGTCTTAACCAATCAAAACTTCTGTATTTTTAGAGCAAGAAATAAGTAAAAAGAGAAATTCCTGCATTGAATAATTGACCAATAATTAGAAATAAATTAAACGTATTGGACAATATATGAATAAGTGAAGAAAGTAAAATAAATTAGATTGTGTTGTTTGTATAATTTACCTAAAGCTTTGATCAAGTTTTTGATGTCTGCATCAAGAAGTTCCAGTTTGTAGTTTTTCTGCCCAACTGGTTTCTCAGATTCACCATAACCTCTCATGTCTACAGCAACCACCCTGTAAACAAATTTCAATATTCATACAAAAACTTCCCTTTAACTTATTTTGGATTGATAAGATTTTCCAATTCAAATATAATTTAACCCCAAAACAATAGAATTGAGATATAATAAGTACCTAGTGTTTTCAAAAAAATGAAGAGAGAACTTATACGGTATTGAACGTTTAAAATTTTTTAGACAAAGTTCATTTCCCTACAACTGTGTTTTTGTTTTGTGTTCCATAAAAACTTTATGTATGTATAACAAATCGTTCTACGAGGATTGACCTGATGATGTGACTGTTGTCACGAAATCGGTCGTCACTAGAAGAAAAAAGGATATTAACAAGGTAACAGTTTATTTTATTATTTTTATACAAAATATCTTTCATAATGTTGAGATTAAACTTAATTTCCAAATCCACTGATCAGATAATTAATTCGTACCATACTTTGCCAGCTATATAACTCTATTCCATCACATTTTCATTGATACCTTACCTATTAACATTAGGTAGGTAATCAATGATTCATTTGCTATTTCATTACCTGTTTGCTATAATGAAAATACCACAACTCACAACTAATTGTCAGACCATAATTTCTTTGTCATCAAACCATCAATATCACCAAAGTATCTCTATATCCTGTAATTGTACTCTCTACTCACACAAAGACTAAACTTCACACTATCATGATTTTTTTTCAAGTACATTGTTTGCAATGGTAAATTTTTTCGCTCAAGAAATACTGCATACGTTTTACATCACTGGTTAAAGCACCAAGATTCACATGTTTAAATTATATTTTATGTTTTATATGCAACTTGTTTATTTATCAATCAGGAAAATGTCACAATTAAAAAATATCATGATACTAGCACAGACCAGTAATCTGTAGAAAACTCCTTGATCTGATGTCTCCATGAGTACCAAAACTCGGGAAATCCGTGTACGAACACCATCAGAGGCTTAGACTTATCACCGGCCTCCACGTAGTGCAGCTTGATGTTCTGTGACAAAAACAAATTAAGTTGTATTTGTTAATGCCAATATAACCTAAACTTGGCAGCTGGTCAAGTGGTAGAGCGCAGGACTTCAGCGCCTGAACTTCGGTCCCTGAGGTGCCGGGTGAAAATCCCTCCAAAATGACCGATAAATTTTATCTAAGTGATATTGCCGTAACTCCTAGGTCTAGCTTTAAATAAAGTGAAACACGGGCTAGAGCCTATGTTAGGACAAAAAATGAATATGAGTTGTTGCTGTTACTAGAAAATTTAAGTTAAACGTGTCCATTCATGTTTTAGCTACCTGTAGCTAAATTATTGGGGAGAGTTCTACATGAAGATCTAAGTCTAAATCCACGATGACCAAATTTAGTATCAGCTGTATCAATTAATCTAAGTAGATTATAAATTAACAGTTTTTATTTTCAGCGTTGTATGTAAAAAGTAAATTGTTTATTGAAAACTGAAAAAAAAGGTTTTTTGAAATTTTCTATTTTTAAAAACCAGCTTTGAAATTTAATAGGGTTTTACCAGTATTAATTATAAAAATTAGCATTCAAAAGATTAAAATCAATTCTTTTATGCTCACAATTTTTATAGAACATTTTGTAAAGACAAACAAAATATATTATAGGTATTTAGTAAAAAATGTTTAGCATAACTACAGTGTTAAAAAAATAAATCAATTTGTAAATTTGTTCCTGTCAAAAGCCAAGTTTAGCCAAATCTATTGATTTTTTTAAATTCTTGAAGTGTAAAAGAAACTCATATCTAGAGATAGTTATATCTTACTCTCTTTAGATTAGATGTATCAAAGTTTTCAATTACTACTCTTATAGTTTATTATTATCTTGTTTCATTTATTGCTGATATCGGCTCTTGACATCATTTTATTTGACGAAAAAAATGTTAAATTTGCTAAAACTAAGAAGTAAAATACAGAGTTGTTTCTGTAATATAATATGTGTACCTATCTCTTTTCTACAGTAGATTTTAAGAACCCCATTTTATTATGCATTCCCCTGTTAAAAAGCAAAAGTAAATTTAAATACTCAAATTGAACTAAAACCATAGGTGTCTTGTGTTGACTTCACATTTCGCAGAAATGACAAAACACAGTGTAAACATATGAGTCATACGTGCATGTGTTAGTACATTTAACACGTTTGTAAACCAAACATGGCTTTACCTTTTATGGTTTGTTAACCTCCATCATCTTCAATGTTTCCCACATGAGTCGAATGCTAATAATAGAAATTGTGAATAAATTATCTGTGTATATTAAATCCGCTTCCTCTATTGGTAATTCTGTAGACAAATTTATTGATACAGATTGCTGGATTGCTTACAGTGTTTAATTACATTTTAGTGAAATAAATTCTCATATCTGACTCTTATGCACAAGTCAAATGTTGTTTATTTTAGTTTTTCCTTCTTCTTTAATTTGTAAAAAAATATATATGAAATGGGAATTGATAGTCAAGGAAAAAATTAGGAACCGAAAGTCAAAACCAGAAATTTGTGTAGGTCTGCTCAACAGGGCAATAGTGAATCCCAAGCATCCAATTAAAATAATTAAATAAAATGGAAAGCGTATTGCGGAGAAGCGATTTTCTGCTTGATCAGTGGCGGTGAAATTTAGTATGTTAACCTCTTATTATTCTAAACAAAATGGTGCAATGCCATAAAAATTATGGTTCCAAAGTTATAGCAACTTTTGTGATTTTCCCTATAAAATATCATGGTTACCCCCACCACTTCCATGATGGGCTGTTGACAAGCTAATGGGAGAAAGTATGTCAAATTGCTAATACTATATTTTAATTACATTATCAGGTTTTGTTATTTTGCAATTTTGTGATAATTTCATAAATACAGCAAACTTATTAATTTAATGGCCATTATTTTTCTAAATCAATTTCAGATTTTGGTTTTCTATTGAAATTTTATTCTAGGTTAATTTCTTGTGAATAAATCATTGACCAATCCGATAACCAGTCATTAAAAATACTTTACAGTCTAAACATATTTGAACACCGAAAGTGCAGACAACACAAAGTGAACCCCAAGGTCATTCATTATACAAGCGAAAATATCAAGGCCAGCTGGATAATTTGAAACCACCAAAATTGCAGCGGTGCAGAATTGACCTTCGCATTCCTAAACATAGTTTATCAGGTTATATTCAATATGAGCCACAACCAATTCTAAACGGGAGTTGTCAGTTCTCCAAACATTGGTATGAACGAATGGAAATTGTTAGATCAGCTGTTTAATTGTTGTTTCCGAACGTGTAGTGTTTAATTCATTTAGGCTGAATATCATTCAGTTTATTGAAATGTGAACGTAAAATATTTCATAAAAGGATCAAATATTCATTTTATAGCTTTTGATTTTCTTAACCATATATAGGCCTACCAATGAAATTAATTAAAATTAAAATCAGGACTTTAATTCGTATTGGGATTGATTTGATTTGATTTGTTAATAAAAAGTATCAGACTTAGTTTATTTTTATTATATTATTTCCAAAAGAAAGCACTGTTTCAAAATCCCTTCCCTTGTGTTTTGGTAACAAAAGGGATCGCATTTAATATAGAATTGAAGTTATTCGACATCACTGACCTTGTCAAACTCATGTAAAGTAGGTCAGTATAATTAAAAGTCTATATTTATCTTACCAGCTGATATTCTAAGTTCGGCGTAGATCTAATGTCTTCACCATGTGATTAATCTAAAAAATTGTTTCCTTTGGTTTACTTACACAAATTCAATTCAGATTGTTCAACAAATTAGTCCACTAATTGATTTCGTTGTGGTCATTTTTGTTCCAATTTATTTTATTGGTCCACATGCATGTTTATTATTACATCGTGTCATTTTGTTGGTAATATAACTTATTTAGCTTAAAATCAAGTTTGTATACAGTATTATGGACTATAAAGAAAAATGATACCTTTGGTGCCTAATATTTTATGACAATACTTTTCTCTAAGATGCCGATTTAAGATAGGTACACGAATCTAAAAAAATAAACTTACAAACTAAAATAAATCTTTGGTTTTATTAACTAACTCATTATATTATTTATCAAAACTAGACCGATTTCAATATTTTTAATAACATTTAAGTATCCTAAGTTTTAAAATTTTAAGGTTACACGCAATGATACATGTAGGCATATACAAACAAATATTAACTAAAATCAAACGTTACATGTGGTAAATTTGGAATTTCGAATCTAATATCTCAAATAGAATATAGACCTACTGTGAACTTACATTGTGAGTACAAATTTTAAGCGAATGAGGTTATGTTTGTCTGTGATCTGAAAGACCGTCTAAATTGTTTAAGCAATTGCCAATTTTTAAATTAAGTGGGCCGTATTTGTTTCGGATGTCAAATTAAATTTGCGTTTGTTAGCCTACACAATAAAACACATACCTTCAACTGCACATAACGATGATTCCCGAGAGTCGGATCGTTCAAACACTCGGGCGGGAGTTCCCGAGGGATAACGGCCCAGAAACGATCCCGGGGGTTCTTCAGGAACCTCTGAACCAACTTGAAGATGAACCAGAGTCCGTGTACGACCGTCAGGGAATACCCGATGACCAATTCTAGGCAGTATTCTACAGTGAGAGGCATTGCGATGTCCGAACTGTTAGAAGGCACAGACGGGACTGAAAGATAACCTAGAAGGTCGAGTTTAGGTAAAGATCGCGCATTTCCGGGAAAGGTTTGTTTGGACGTGCAAGAGAGATAACGTGCAAACTAAACTACTAAGTCAAACTTCTCAACATTCTTTATTTTAGTTTTGTAGAGAATTGAATTAAAATGCAAATTTGTGTACGTGCTTGAAATAAACTATATATGATCAAACAGGTATTGAAAACGTAAAGAAAGATGAGTTTAATTGTGGAAAAACTGCCTGTTCGTCTGGTAATTTAATTTGTAAATGCTAAGAGCAAGGTTTTATGAAGAAAATCGTCTTTGGAATTGTAAATATGGATTTTAAATAGTGGATAGATTTGATACAACAAAATTTCTGAACATTGTTTTATGCATCAACGAAAAATTCAGGGAACTTTTATCACTTTATGATTTTACTAAAATAATATTTGGGTTGGATAAGGCCTAAACGATACCTTTTTCACCCAGGTTAACCAAAATTTGACATATTCCTATCACATTATAAATAATATGATTACTCAAGTTAAAAAATAAAAATAACCTATTAACGTATAAAAATTCAAAACTGGCCAAACACTCTATACAAAAAGACACATAAGAAATAGATTTATTATAAGCTTAAGTTTTGAAATCCTAAGATTACAAACAAATTACTCTTAGTAGTTTAACCCTTAAAACCTGTTAAAATTCCATGTATTTTTATCACGTTTCCCTCATTGTAAATCACAACAATCTGAACTAATTTAAAACTAGTTTCGTTAGACGTACAGTAATTGTATGCAAAAAACAAACTTTCTGTTTTTAGGTGCAACTCTCAAAAAATCCACCCAAGCCGTTTTCTGGTTATTTGAAGTGCAAAGGTGTTTATTAATTGTGTTATCCCATCTCGTTCGTTACTTTTTGTATTGTTTGGACAATTTTTTGGTTTTGTTTGACTACTACACAGTTTAAAGTTTTTTGTGTGGTTTTTAATAATTGTGATCTCTAGTTAGACTGTTTTAGGTACTTATTCACTTGAGAAGGGAGTTAGATTCCATATCCCAAAACAATGTGAAAACTTAATTTTGATGGGAAATTTTTCCAATAACCTCTTTAATGAGGAAAGGGCTAGTCTGGTATGTGGAACATTAGTCTCCAAAGTTCTAGGTTCAAATCCCGCCAATCTATGGATTTTATCTATATGAATGGCTGAACCCTCTAAGCTTAATGTGTATGAACCGTTCCAGGCTAGTCTTGTAAAATAAACTTCTTTAAGGGGAGTCGGTTGACCCCCTGGGCAAAAAAATCAATTTTTTGTATTACTGATATTTGTCCCGCTACCCATTCCGGTTAATTTGAGTCCAAAAACATTAAAATATATTAAGAATAAACTGAGTTATATATTTTTTTGTAAATGGATGACAAGTATGTTTCGCAGACAATTAGGGCTACTACTGTTGTTGTCTTTAAATGACAATTACCGTAAAAACGGGTTTTTTCCATATAAGGTGCATTTTCTCAGTAACCAAAAGAGATATCTTGTTATTTTTTTATTGTTCCTTTTTTAAGTGCACACAAACAGACGGAGAGATATTTTAGGTTTTAATAACTGCAAAATAACAAATACAATTATTTCATTAAAAACATGGATTTTTATATCATATTAAAAAATATATATTAAAAAATTAAAACAAAAAGTAATTTTAATAGCTCTCCGTTAAAGTGTGCCCAGCCTTTTGAGAAAAAAGAATTATTGCAATATCTTTAATAGTTTTTGAGTAAATGTACCTTGAATTATTTGCTTAATTTAACATAGGGAAGATAGGGCAACCGACTACCCTTAAAGGTTTACACTCACTATCATTAAAAATAAACGTTTAACAAAGGAGTGGAAGGAATTTTTTGACAAACTTCCTCAGACATGAGAACTTCTGAGGAGTTGAAAACCAAACTTTCTTAGACAGGATTTAAACCCTCGACCCTCAATCTAGAGTGCTAGTGGTCGAAGGGAACACGCCTTTTGGCCTTCATCTAAGTCAAAGCGCTTTATCGAAGATGCTCGTGAGAAAAGCACCATTTGATTCTGTGGTCCAATACCTCTTGTCTGGGATCTAGTCTACCTAGTCGCTGGATTTGTCTCTTGAGTGAACCGGACCTTAGACCACTCAAAAATTGATCAGACAATTTTGGTTAACCAAAAGCATAATCATAGTAGTTAAAAATTCGACACATTGCAACACGTCAAATATGTCTTAAAGCCATTTACATTGTGTTGTATTTGCATAGATATACGTACGTTCGGTTGCTACTCTCGCGTCCAAAACATTGGCCTTTGTAGCTCAAAGGGTTTGTTTTAACCCTTCCCGGATGGGCAAAATCGTGACATAGGACGGGAAAAAATTAGAGGAAAAAATATAAAATTAATTTTCCTTATTTGTGTTTTGTTATACAAGTATACACAAAATAAACACAATGGGACACTTCAAACTGTCAAAATAATTTTTTACTCGTTTTTAATTATGCGGATATATCTGCTACCCGTCCGCGGATGAGTAGAAAAGCAGCGGATATATCCCCACCCGTCTTGGAATATATGCCCATGACATCGTTAGGGAATAAATAAAGAACAATATGTAAACAATAAATAAAGACAACGTAGTATTGAGCGCGAAACGTCGAGGGGGGAGCTGAGGAGTGGTTGGGGGTGCGGAGTGAGCGCAGCCATGGAGAGAGCAGGAAAGTGGCGCCTTGGAACTGCGAAACATCTGCCAGTCTGTCTGAAGAGATATATCCGCTTCCCATACGGAACATCAAAAACCATAAGCGGATATATCCGCCATTCATTCAAGTTTTCGGTTGACAATTGTGCGGCTTACGGTTTTCTCAAAAGTTTGTAATTCCTATTAGCTTTATAAATAGATGATTAAAAGAGTTGAATGGCTCGCAACATTTCCAAGTTTCGGTAGACTTACAGTTCAATTTATAGTTTTCAGATAATCGATACCTAAATGGAGTGTTAAAATATTATGAATTGCTTTTGGTAAAAAAAGGTGAATCTTTCCAGGAAAGTGAAACAACAATCAGGTTTAAATAACAATATATTACATTATGACAATGAAAATAGAAAAAATACAATGTATATTAACTAGCTAAATACCCAGTCTTATGAAACATTGCTACGAAAAAAAAAAGCTACGAGAACAAGACAAGAATTCATTGTAATGAAAGAAAATTGACAGTAAAATGATTATCCTATATTACTAAGCCTAAATTTATTTATGACAATGGTGTTTTTTCCTAAAGATTAAATTTAAAAAATAGTTAAATACATTTTTGTTGGTAATTACGATGGAATATAATATATGTTTAGACTAGAATAAAAACTACTAAGAAAATTAATAGAATGATGGATCCATATAAGAAATTAAATAGTCAGAGAAAAACTATCTTTTGAAAAATATTTTATGGATAGAAAATGACAATTTTATATTGTTTCAGTATCTTAAGCATCCGAAATTCAACCAATTTACACAATGTCAAATCTTTTTTAAGTAAAACACCATAATTTGATTCTTAAGTACTAACAAATATTCGGTGAGTTGTCAAATAAAATTAAAATTTTGTTGTCATGATTGAAACAGCAGCCAGTAAAATATTTAGTAAATGCATAAAGATAAACAATTAATTGACCTAACTAAAATTTATTACGAAGCAAACTATTATGAAAAAATTATATGATAAAAACAAAGCCAAAAGATTATTTCGAACCTAATCATTGATTAAAGCTAATAATTTTTTTTACTGTGATCCAAAACAACTTATCTTACAGGTTAACAAACATACTAAAGCAGTAACAAATGTTTTATTGTATTACACCTATTAGTACAAGCTTAACCTACGCTGTTGATATGCATGTAATGATTGAAGTGGCAACTAAACGGCTTTTATAGGTTTGTGGATTGTGTAAAAACATGAAAGTCAATATTTTTTGTTGAAACTGAGATAATAAAACAGAATTGGTGTGCTAGTTTGATGGTTAGCATTTCCAATTTGATTTTAAGAGTAATGTCCCTTAAACTCTTTAAATTATCTTCGTATAAATTGCCTGCAGGCATAAATGTAATGGTTAGTTGGGTTTTAATTGAAAGGGAAGTGTTTGGCAATAAAGAGGTGTTTGGTAAGTAGGCTTGAAGCTTTGCTAAACTAACCTACGCTAACCTGCAGAAAGTCATTGTTTTTAGTTTACTATTTTTATTCAACCTACTATTTGTATTTACCATCAGAACAAATTAGAAGAACAAAAAAGTCTCTGTACTAGGTCTAGGAGTCAGGTGTGGGGTATTTAAGAAACAGGGTTCCATTTGGGAAGCTGGAGCTCATAGGAAAATATAATTTTTAATTATTGCATTTTCACGTTAAAACACAATCCCTTGGTATTGACAAGCCATGATATAGCAAGCCACAACAAATGTACAGTCACAAAGCAAAATGTACAGTCACAACAAAAACAGCTTAGCTGGTCCCTCACACACCTCTTATTGTTATTTATCTTTGTACAATTTACAATGTGCAAGAGTGTAGTAATATTTATACACTTAGATATTGAATTATTAAACGATCTGCAAAGGTAAAAAATAAAAATGTAACCAAACCAACAAATAGATATACAAATGTTTAAAATCGTGTAGTAGTTTAAAATGTTTACTGTGACAAAAATTATTTGTACATATCGGATGTTACAACCAATACAATTTACAACAATATTTTACAATATATTCTCTAAGGATTTTTACAAAAAAGTAAATTAAATTACCACACTCTTGCACTGTTTAGTACAACATTTACGTAGTCTCGGAAATCACATCACATTTGCGGGTCAAGAACTAAACGCAACAAGATTTAACCCAAGTTTTCACCTGCAATATAAAGAAGCTATTTTAAACGTGCAATATAGCCATGTTCACGAGGAAAAATTAGTTAAGCTTAGAGTAAAGAATATAAAAGATTTGTGATCATTAAGGGAATTTTTTATATTTTACGATTTGTTTATCGTCAAAGTTACTACTTATTTTGTTCCATGCTTTGGTCTTTACACATTTTATCGTAATTTTACTACGTAGCACACAATTTGAAGTTCAACGTAACTATTTTAAAACATTTAATAATTTATTACTAATGCATAAACATTTCAAGCCATCTTCAAAATCCTTGGAACTTAAATGTCAAAAGATTTTTGTTTAAACCATAATGTATATTGTTATAACTGTATTTATGACTGAGAAGCCAAGTCAGTGATGTTGTGGGTTCGAACCTGGTTCCACCACTTATATTATTCAGTACACATCATTTTGTACGGTAACGGCTCACTCCTTGCTTTGGTTGATACGGTCCACGTAGCCTACAGGTTTTCAAGGCCCATTTGAATTGCAATTTCAAATGGATGTCAATAAAGATTTTTTTATTGTAGAACAATTATTATAGTAAATCAGTGTTGTAGTTATTATCAGTAGTTTCTATTGCAGTAGGTTTTTTGTATAGATGCTACCAACCTCATTTTACAAAAAAATTACCATATTTCATACATCGCATAATATTAAATAATTCATTATTTTAATCCTGTTACGTTTAGTTCCGAAGCCGAAATTTTTCCTCGACTACTGGAAGATTTTCTTATTAGAAATACTTTAAAGCCTTCTAAGCTGCCCGATAAAAATACAACCAAAACAATTCCCAATCAATATGAGAAAAACAGTCACTAACCAAAATCACAATGAATGATAACAAAATAAATATAAGATTCGTCTTTTATAAACCCATTGTGTTTGAAAACATATCAAAGAAAAGGGTGCGTAAATATTTAGCATTAGAAAAAAAACACTAATACAATGTTCAACTAACTTAGAATTTGACACGGAAATGCAACAATCGAATTATTTCTAATTGAATATCTACATATTAACAAATAGAATTTAACAACTACATAACTGGTAAATATTTCGACAAGACATACAAAATACAAACAAATATTGCTAATAGTCGATACATACTGAGCAACGCAAGCACTGACAATATATTCAACAATGATAAAATCACAATTTGTTATTTACTATTTCAACAGATTATATACACTAATTTATATTTTTACAAAAACTTACAGTTTAGATAAGTACCGGTACTAAAAAAAATTAATTTGAAAAGAAAAGCACTCAACGGAAGGATTAACAGTACCATCACTAAAGTGACTAAACATTATTAATGTAACAATTCAAAAATAAGTTACATTTTGCTATAGACTTTCATTTAAAGAAACCTATTTGAAACACTTCTCCTCCAGAAACCTATTCGTTTCCTTTTTCTCAAATTTGTCAGCAATTTTCATGTTCAAGTTTTAAAACCCATCATTAAAATAAAATTAAATAATAGTCAAATGCCCTGAGAATATAAATATTGTGATGATAAACAACTATATTATTTACAGCTGTTCATAGTAAATATCCATCTCTCAACAACAAAAAACAGCTGATTGACTAGTTGAAACCAAACAGATTCTTTCCTGTACGAGTTAGACAAAATTTACAGTTTTATTATGTGTAACAAATAATAAAACAATGTTATATCATTAACATGAAACAATAAATGCTCTTAAATATATACTCTTACATATCGTTGAGAAGAAATACCCAAAGGTATTACTCGTACAAAAAAAAATTGAAAACAACAGTGCGTAAGTGTTTTATGATAAGAACTTAACTAACAGATCATTCAAGACTGAAAATAATTATCTACAATGTACTAAAAGTCAAAATGTACAGAGTTAGGTAGCCTTCTTAAACATGATGTATAACATGTGATAAATTTGTGATCAGCTGATTTTAAAACTTCACATATGACTGTCTTTTTTACTCCGTACATTTTGCTACAAAGCAACAATAAAGGAACTGATAATAGCACCGAGAAAATACAACCTAGACTACCTAGAGTACTGCAGGTTTTTAAACAAGAGATGCACAATAACAAGTTGGACCATAAACAAATTAAGTTTATCAGTAACGAAACCAGCAGCAAGTTACAATATGTCAGACAAATTAAAATTTTCTAGTCCGTATAGATAACGTAGGAATAATGTGACTATAAACACCATGTTGCTCGGGGTTATTCGTAAGCCTAGTTAGAGGATGCCTACCACTGAACTACAAATTTTTTCCAGAGGTAACACTGGTTTAGGTTTAAAATTAATCTATTTTACGGTTGGTAAGTTGGTAGTGCACTAGAACAGAGAGTACAAAATAGAAAATAATTGACTGGTATGCTTCAATCAAATTGAAAAGCGATTTAAGTTATACGTAGACGTAACTCACTTGTAAAAGGAATGGGACACAATTTTATAACTTTTGATTGCACAGAAAAACATGAACATTATGTTCGATAGGTCTAGTAACGGTAACTAACCAAATACCTTACTCAAGGTACCTGCTAAACTTTAAGGTTATGTCACTTAAGTTTGAAATTAAATTAACCTGATAATACCAACCGTATAATGTACTAAGAAGTGTCAGTAGATGATAATTTATTATTTACCATCAGCTGTACTCCAATAAGTTTTGTCAAAACAAAATATATGTAATTTTAAAAGTCTCAACTAATAGCCGATGAGCAAATATAACCTAAAAAAAGGTCCAAGAAGTTAATTCAAAATTTACCAAAAGTTTTGCTACAATAAACGTAGTCCTAGCAAAAGCAAAATAAATGTAGTTTTAAAACACGTAACTTGAAGTAAATGGTTTATTACAAATAAACCTAACCTCAAAAAAGTCTAAATCATTTCCCAGTACAAAATGGCCGCCAGCGGCATGCAATCCCCTAAAGAAGTGCTTCCTCCAGATAACCATAGCAGTGGTGCCTACTGTACAGACTAGACTAGGTTTTACAAACATTTCTTGTGTGAGCAGCCGCAGCCACAGCGGAAACAGCAGCACTGCTGCTATCTCTTGGTGTTACTTTGCTGCTTATCGTTGCTGTTAGCAGCCGCTTGCAGTCTTTGTACCTTGTCCAACAGCTCCTGTTTGGCCTCTAGCGCTCGACACAGGTCTTCCTGCGCTGAGTTTACCAACGACCTGCAAAAGTTAGGTTAGATTAGATTAGACCAGTTCACCCAGCTGACAAAGTTAGGTTTATGGGACTGACCCTGGATGAAAATCTCGATTTCCACCATCATATTAAACAGGTCACAGACAAATTAAGTTCTGCAATGTTTGTACTGCGTAGTTTAAAGAAAACTGCTAATAATGACGTTCTATCCGTATATTACGGACTCATCTATCCACATTTAGCGTATGTTATACCTATATGGGGTTATGAAAGTACAAAAACCAAATTCCTGTTTAAGTTTCAAAAATGGGCTATAAGAACAACTTTTTCCTTGCCCAAACGCCAATCATGCAGAAAAGTTTTCTCAGATTCCAAAATTCTAACTCTTCCATCGATCTACATTCTTCTTGAAACCCTCATCTTTGTCAAACAAAATCTTTCCCTTTTTACTGAGTCAGAAAACCCCAGTATTCACCCACATTCACTCTGATATTCTCACAATTTACCAATCCCTAAACATATTACATCTAAAAAAAAACAAAAAAACAAAAAAAAAACACTGCCTTTACAATGGAATTAATTTGTAAAATAGCCTCATCCCCCTTTCTTTAAAATTAGAATCTGACCACTCAAAATTTAAACGATGCATAGAACAACATTTGATTAAAATCTCGTGTTACAGCATCCAGGAGTTCTTGAGCCACATGAACTGGGCTGTTGTAAACCCTGGTGTGTAAAGTAAGAAGATGTCAATATAATTAGTATTAAATATTGTTGTAAATACCTTAATCTTATAATTAGCTCAAAACCAAGAGGGAAAACTGTAATTTTATGTTTGACTTAGCTAGTGCAATGTGTTGTCAACTTAGCTCAATAAAACTATTTGATTTGATTAACAGTTTAATTTGGATTAGGTTGGATTGGTAATTTCGATGCAATAAAAAAAATAGTACATATAAACAATATTACACCACCTTGTTATTCAAAACTTAACTTGTATTTGTAATTTACATAGTGATTTTACAAAATATTTTACAAAAAAGAATTTAATTTCAAACTATTTTTAACAAAACTAACATGCATTACTAGCAGTACTGACTGAATTTGGAGCTCTCCATCATCAGCCTACCACGATTTACTGCAGCTAAAGTGGCAAATAACTTGATGTGCTAGTATTTTATTACTCCTTATCGCCTAGTAAGTAGCCTAGTAGCGTCTTGCAGTAAGAAAATCATACGTGATGAAAGCACAAAAACTTACAATTTAATTTGATATAATATTGAGTATCGCTGGATGAATTCAAAAGTTAAACGACCAATAAATACAAGCAATCGCTGTACAACTACTACTAAGAGCTTGGAATAAATTACTTAACGTAGACTAAACTGCAGGAAAACAGTCTGATGAGAATTTACACTGGATTTGCATAGAATTTCATAGTAAACTCAAAAAGCTGTTACAATCCCTTATTTTATAACAGTCTTCGGTGGTGAAAGCAATATGTTACCCTAAGGCCTTCAAATGGAGATCATAAAATTAATTAAAAGATTAAAAGCTGCGATTACACAGAATACAGCCTGTAGCGCAACATTTTAAGGTACCTAACTGTATTTGAAAAACTAGTTCCTCCATGTAATCAATCTGCAGAAGAGCTTCTCGTAAAACGTCAGCTGAAATTGTAAATTTAAATATAAGAAGAATGTGGTCTTTCATTCTTTATGTGACAACAGTTTTGTACTAAAAGAATTTCTAAGGGAAATCCAAGTTTAAAAATGAATCTTTGCTAAGTTTAATCTCTGAGTCAATTTGTAGCCTACACAAGAAAAAGGATATAGAGGTATACTGAAATAAATCATAAAGATAAACTTGATTATTGATTTCAAGTTCAGGACTTCCCCAGAAATTAGATTGATGAGAATAACATTGTTGTTAATTTTTCTGCATATACTTGTTGTTATTCTTTCAATTTTTTATTAGGTTTTGTCACATGATATCTTGTTATTGTATTTGTTAAGTCTTCTTGTAGAAGCATTAGTCGTTATTTATTCATTGTCATTACTGTATTTAAATGTCTGGTAAGTTCGGTTTAAGGGAAGGCTCTAGGCCAGGATTTTGGTTTGACCAACCACAATACGTTACCTGAGTACTTTCGTCTCCTCTTGGCATCGCCGCAACACATGGTTCTCTTCGTTGATCTTCTCCATGGCGGCCAACCGTCTCCGCAGCTCGTCGTTCTCACTGCGCAGTCTTGCCAACATCACCTGGTCCATGGCGGGGGTGTGTGGTGTCGTAGGAGTGAGAGGGGAGGGTGGGGGAGGCGGCTCCACGTGTAACACTCCGTCCTCCGTCCTGTGAACCCTGCGGACAGAAACATGACGTCGTACTTTATATTTTCTTATAAATTTATGGGAATGAATATAGATATCTGTTCAAACAAGCTAAATATTTTTTTTCAAGCAACAAGAAATTACAAGAAAGAAATGGAAAAGTTTGTCCTCTTAAAATTTACCCTCATTCAATTTTTAATTTAAAACAGAGGTTAGCGGCCTCTATTACATTGCATTTGCCCTTCCACATGGGCCACTGAGGCCTGTGCGTGAATTGTAAAACAGGAAAGCAAGGGGTGAGCCGGTACAGTACAAGGATGAACAACCACTGAGAACCAAGGTACAGAGGAAACAAGCTTATGACGACCTTGCCCTTTCAGCTCTAGTATGTCGGAAATATTCTTGTGACAAGAAAGGAAGAGCATGAGTGGCAAGCACAGTGCGGGAATTCCTATGCACAAGGTCTTCCTCCACTGTGAGCGTTGTTGTACCTTGTTGTTGGACAACGTGGGCGATGTTGGACTTTGCCCTAGACACCACTTTAAAAAAATGTACCATTGAACGTTTCCTCTGTACCTTACTTCTCTATGACTGTGCTGATAAAAATTAGTGGCAGGTATCAGTATTCGAACCCGTGACATCGCTACCTTGGGCCAACTAGGCTATCGACTTAAACCAGAAAACTTTAATTCTTTAATTTGACCACTCCACGTATTATAAGCATTATTTGTCTAAATAAATAATATTTAATTTCTCTAATTACCTGAGCTGACTGATGTTCACATCTAGAGGTATTGGTCCAGGCGAAGTGATGTTACAACTCCTGTCTTCAGTCAGATGTAATCTGATGTTCTCTAAAGTTATCTGCAACCAAAACCACATAGACCGACTCAATTCCATTTCAAAATTAATTCACAAAGAGTTAACGGAATAATCTACTTGTATTGACTATATAAATACCTACAAGCTTCAAAATACACCAAACTCAAAACTTATTATAAAAACAATGAAACAAATATAGGTGATTATAAAAAAATGTTTGTTATACAATCAAAAAATTAAGAGTCCTGATTCTGACACAACAACATGGCTAATGCACTTAAAAAAAAAAACACAGTTTTTTTATAAACAAAAAACAAAAGAAAGAACACTAAAATTGATTATCAAATCTTGGAACCAAAAAAAATTCATTAAGTTTTAGTGGTTTTGAAGATTAAAGTTTAGTTTTTGACGCATCACTAATCTATATCTTCTAAACTTTTGACATAGGTACTCAGTAGGCTATATAGATAATTGTGAAGAATAATACATAATAACAAAACAAAATTTAATCAAGTTTCTTGCACAACTCACATCTACAGGCAGCGGCGTTGACAGCACCTCGTCTTCAGCCAGGTCTGCCAACCCAGCAATAGTGGCGACACTGAGACCCAGCTCCGTGTTGGCAACCCTGACGGTCAATAGGTTGGTGAACCATGCCCCAGAGCCTAGGCCAGGCCCCACCCACTGAGCGGGGCTCTGCGGGGTCACGGTGTGGTTTAGACGAGCTGTTACGCGGGGCTTGTGGTTGGTACTGCTCATCTCCGACCAGCCGCGCGATCGCATCGTGAACTTGCTCTGCAACCATACTTGTGTGTCAATGTGTTGTGTTGAATTTGCTATTGTCAATACATCACCCTGATTGTTGAAGAAGTGTTTATTAGATAAGTGAAGGAAACATTTTAGAGATCGGTTTAACGTTTTATAAATATTTCAATATCTCTGCCGAAACCTTCAATTTAACTTAGAGGCAAGTAAAATACAAAACAGGTACGAAACAAATATTTCCTTAAAACTGTCAAATTTTCCTATGTAAATAACAAACGGGTTTAACCAGTACTAAGGTTTCCTGCTACAGGGAAGGTAATACAGTGTTTTTTAAGTGAAATATTAATAGATTAGTATGAAATAAACATAAACATAAGAATAATAAGGGCATTTTAAATTTACACTTTTTAAAATTCTTCTTGTAACAATTAGTGTACGCAACGCTTAAAAATAGTAAATTATTTGTTATTAAAATTCCAAAAGAAATTTGCAAAATTTTAACTTTTGTGTCAAAAATTTGAACCAATTTTTTTCAAACATACTTTCTGAGATATCTAACATTATAATCTAACGCTTGACAAATAAGCAAATTAAACTGCCGCTAACACTGTGGATTACTATTTTGGTAACTAGGGAAAAATAAATACTTCTACGTAATATATGATATTTTATATACTATTACATAGGCATTTAACTAAACACAAAAGATACTCAATTTTAATCATACTTGACCTGTCAACATTTATTTATTCCAAATTTTCGCTGCGAAAACCAACTTTAAAGTATGGTCGAAGATGATTCTATACAGTAATTTACTGTATAATAACTCAAATTTTTAACTCGTAAACATGGTTTACAAAATAATAATTTTTTTAGCAGATAACAGGGAACTTTTGATATTTTTAATGAGGAGAATTTTATTGGTTGAACTAGTAACGGGGAATTTTCAGGTTAGCTTAAACTAGGAAGTAGGTGATTGTAATTGGTTCGTTGTAATCTGATATGGAAGACATTGTATATATGTTAAACAGGTTTCAAGGACATTTTAAACATTTCATGAGAAGTAAATACTTTAATACTTCCGTATTTAATTGCTAAAAAATTTTCAAAATCTTACCTACTCAAAAAATAATAATATTCCACATCTGTTTGATTCCAAAAAAATTATTTTCTATTTAAATTAGGACCAAACGATTTCTAAAAAAAGTTATTCAAGCAAACGTTTTAAACGTGGTATTAGGTATGCATAAGTCTAAGAAACTAAAAGATTGAAATTAATATGAACCAAATTAAAAAAAAAATACTATTGGAGTCATCGTGCAAGGCTGGGTAATCAGCATGCGGAATATAATTATTTTGTTTCAAAGTTGTTCAGAAAGTTTTAAAAGATCGCTTTGCTTTGAGATTTAATGCATCACGATAACTTATATTGACACAAAACCATGTGATAGAAGTCAAACATACCGACTTCAGGCCCCACTGTTTTAAGAATTATTCTCTGCTAGCATCCAAATCCAAACACAAATTCTGACTTATTTCTGGTTTATTCCCTTGAAATACGAGCGCCAAACAGGGATCCCAAGGAAATAATTGTCTAAAAAAGGTTTCTGTACAACTTTGAACTTTCTAAACACAAACATGCGAGGTGCAGATAGAAAGAGAGGTACCTTGATGTTCTGATTAAAGGAAACGAACGCCGAAGCATGCACAGAGAAAAACACGTTAGCAAAACAACAAACCTGCACCTTCAAATGACAAACACTTAGCAAGTAAATGGTGAAATGTTAAAAATATCTTTCCTGTATCCGAATATATTGTTGGTTATAGTTACAGTAAATAACTGTTGGTTATAAGTTAAAATTGTTTATCAAGTTGTGTAGCTTTTCCATGAGTAGCCAGATAGGAATTTGTTCGGAACAAAAAATGCACAGTGTAACTATGTAAATATGCATTTGTTTTTTGTTGTTCGAAGATTGAGGAAAGAAAATGTGAAGAATTATCCACGAAACAAAATTTTTTTTACCATCAAAATATGACAGAAGACATTAGTGAATTGAATTTGTCATTTGATGTAATGTGAGGAGGGATATGTTGAAATTAAACAATTCATTCATAACCTGTAAACAATACATGAGTGAAAAAATGTTAACATGAAAAACAATTTTTATACAGTGTAAGATTGTGGTACAGAAGAACCCAGCTAACCCATTACCTACAGAAATTTGGTCGGCACAGTAAAAAGATCGGATTATCCGAGGGTATTTACGATTTTTCCGTGATCGCAGGAGATGATGATGTCCCCGCGAGTTTGGGAGATGTTCGATATTTTGCCGCAATCGCCGAAGACGATGATGATTTTTTCCATGACCATGGGCATTTGTCTATGGTTTAACTGTGCTCACAGAAGACGATTATAATTTTACCATGCCGCAGAAGACATTTAATATATTGCCACAATGATGATAGGCGATGGTAATATTTATGTTATGCAAGGAATTTTCTAGATTTGGCCACATTGTGGAGGTTGTCGATAACGTTTTTGTGTATGCGGAAGACATTGATGATGCTTCCGTAACCGCGGGGAAAGAAAAGATATTTGCCTCCATTGCGGAAGACAGTGATTATATCCATTATCCACACAACTTTGAGAATTGGTCACAATGTTCGCGATAGCAAGGTCATAAAAAATGCCATCAAAATTAACTCAATTCGCTTTTTTAATAAACTACCTGACAGTGCAAAATTTTTTGATTATAATATTCTTTTAATAGAATTTATTTTATAATTGGCTTATTCAAAATCCTTTTTACAGCTTAAGTGAATTTATCAACTGCAATTTCGATGTTAAATTTTAATTAAAATAAGTTATTATGCTTAATTGTATTTTATGTAATGTTTAGATGTATAAGAAATTTGATTGTATTAAGATGGGTATTTTTTAATGTATATGACGTGTCTTATTTCTTCGTAAAAAGTTCAACGGAATAAATTATTCTTATTCTGATTGTTATCATCAATAAGCAATGATACGGTCAGAATAAGCGAGGAGTCGGATTAGCCGAGGTTGGATTAGCGGGGTTCTAGTAGTAGTATAAATGTATTTATAGTAGTAGTATAAATCATGTAATACAACTGCTGACTTCAATGATAACTTCAATCATTGACACTTCAATTATGTATTATGTATTATGTATTGAACTACAATGTCTAATTTGTAAATTTAACATTCATAAATATAATTTTTAGCAATGAGTGTATGCAGATAAAATAATGTAAACTTAGAGGGTTATCGAATATAGTAAAACTGTTATACAAATTTTACTTGTGTAAAAAAATATTAATACTTCATTAAAAAAAAAGTTGTCATATACAGGCTGCAAATAAAAACTGGATTTTTTCACATTTTTAAATTTTTTTGTTAGCTTACTACACACTAGAAAAAATAGTTAAGCCATTTTTATTGTGTACTAAAAAAAGTATTTGTTCAGTGGTGAATCCCCTTATTTTCACTTTAAAAAGTGCAGATTTGCAAATAGAAAGACGGTGAAAAATATTGATGAATGAATACAATGGTGAAATATAAATTTATTTTCAAATGCAATACAATAGAAAGGTTTAGGGTAGAACCATTGAGTAAATCAGAAGAAAAATAACAGAGTTACACAAGTTTCAGTGAGACTCCATGCATAAACAAGAAGAAATGTAACATTGAGGAGAAATATTACAAAAAATCAGAATACATTAGTAATTGATTTCATATTGTAATGTTACACACAGGTTGAATCTAATTACATTGATAAAGGACAAAAATTTCGGCCGTTATCGGATGGAACCATAAAAATGTCGGAATTCGTCCTAAAGAGGGGCAGATATAGTGTGATTGAGCTGTGGGAAGGAAGGGTCAAAAATAGGGGTTTTTGGTAAATGTTAGTGTGTTTTTTGCCTCCTATCCCTCTCTAAATTCACACGAAGCCAGTTGGCAGGCATGTTACTTGAAAGACTCTAGAGACAAGTAACCTACCTGCTTGCTGGTCTCGCGTGAATGCGGCTTAAACGACGGACCCCATCCCAACAACCTAAGTCCATAAAACAACCCCCAAATACAATAGACACAGGCCTCACTCCAGTAAATCAAAATTATTTAATTTTCTGAAGATTTCACTTAACCAGACACCAGGGAGGATTGAAATATAAATTTATTTAAAAATTACTGACCTGGAACTCGTCCCAAGGTATGGACGGACATTCCTCTGCTGATATGTTGAAGATTTGCAGCTTAACGGAGGAATTGAACCCTTCAGATTGCTGCATTACTTCGACCTGGCCTAACTTAAATGTCGCCACCGCAACCTGTAAACAGAACATCGGCCGTTAAAGAGGTGAAATAGTGAACATCTCCTGTGGTCTCCGTGAAGTTGAACATGATCACTTACACTTTGGCGCAAAATTTGCACACCTGTGATCACGGCAAAATCATACACTTAGATTACACCATCTTAGTAGCAGCTTTCTGCAATCGTAACACCATCGTCATAATAAAAGATCGGTCTCACAATAAAATCTATTATTAAATACTGTACTTCTAAAATTATTTTTGCCCTGAACTGATTCTTGGGTCAAACATTGACCTAACCTGAAAATTTTAGAAAATGAAGACTCTTACCTCAAAGATGGTTTGTTGAAACGCATCTAAAATATCCAGTAGGCCTATTGATAAATTGAAAAAAATTGGCAAAAGCCAATTTAAAGGTGTGGCCATATTTTGAATACTGTAATTGATTGACTTAAATGAAAATACGCACGAGGTATTGTGAAAAATTGTAATTTGTTGCTTGAGGAAGAAGTAGTTGAATATCAAGAAAGTTTTCACCAGAGCAAACTATCTTTTTGTTTTGTGTGTTTTAGATTGGCAAACCTTTAAAGAGATACAGCCACTGGTCTCAACATTGTCAAATTGCAAAAATCCATTAGTAAATGTCAGAATTTGAACCTGTAGACAGATAGTAAATTCCCAAACTGCAGGACTACGGATATATACGACCATTATATTGCCTCAACAGAAAATATTACTAATCAGTACGCACCAGATCTCTCCTTTTATAACTACTCGCAATGCTGTGTGACGTCTCACTGTGCGAAGGTGTAGTCAAAGTTGCTTCGTCGTCTTCTAACGCATCGTTAGCCAGTTCGACGCCTCCAGTTCCTCCATCGCCAAGTGAGAACATGGTGTCACCCGTGTCTAGATCTTTCATCTTGAACGCCACGTAATTGTCACTGTCAGAACTGGCGTCTGATCTGCAAAATTATGAATTTAAGTTTGATCCTTGGCTACAAGTTTGGGAATACATTTTTAAATCTTTTAAACTAAAAGTTGATAGTAAAACATCTTAATTGTGCTTATATCTTACATAGTCAGCCATCACAGAAAAGATAGAATACTAGGATCAGTTGCTGAAGGTCTAATTCCCGGAAGGTCTAATTCCCGGAAGGTCTAATTAGACCTTCGACACACATTTTGCAGTTTGTACTTGTTTCTGAGGGTCTAATCTCGTAGTATGTCGAAGGTCTAAGTCCCGGAAGGTCTAAGAGTACAGTCAATGCAAAAAACTCATCCACTGATACTGTTTTAGACCTTGCGGGATTAGACCTTGGGCACACAATGTAACTTTTTTAAATAAATGTTTATAAAATGAGAGTTGCTGGAGGTCTAATTCCCGGAAGGTCTAAGATTCGAGTCCCGGAAGGTCTAAGATTCGATTCCCGTAAGGTCTAAGATTCGGGTCCCGGAAGGTCTCGAAATAACTTGCTGTTTTTTCAAAGTGATGAGAATCAAAACCACTCACCTGACTGACATAGAGTCGCTAGCGTCGTCCGCTGTTGAAGGTTTCAATTTGTCGAAAGGGTTGGAGATCATGTTTCCCAGTCCCACACCGAAGCCCTTCATTTTCTGTGTAAAGTCCTTGACAGGAAGCGCAGGGCCTGATTGAGGCTCGACTAATGTATATTTGTCCTTGAAAACAACACATAATTGAATAACTACTTGATCCATTGACTATTTATACAACATTCCGTCCTTTTAAGTTGTCGCCAGTTTTAAAATCAAAATATTCATAGTTTGTTGTGGGCCACCGACAGATTGAGCTGATTGTAATTTCTGATTTCTGTCGAATAGACAAACTTTTTTAAGTCAAACTGATGGAACGACTTATTGTGAGCTATAGCAACTGTAATGGCCCATCAACTATGTCAGCAATAAAAAATAAGGTAGATAATAGAATTTTAGACACTAGCGCATTCTGATAAAACCTAACTAATAGCCAATAATGAAATATTCTCTCTTATACATTTAGGGCAAATGTCTTGAGTATTTAAAACTACATTAAAACTCCTTTTAAAAGCATGAAGTTGAACTGAATTCATAAGAAAATTTGATTTAATTGATATATTTGCTAGAAAACAACTATTCACTGTGGCCTGCGTAGGTGACTTTGATGGAATCGAGCAGACGTATATTTCTGATCTTCAGGTAGGATTACATTTAATCTGGGATTTTCTCAGGACGGGATTTCTTAGACTATCAGCAATTTTACCACGAATACAGGAGACGTCAATGATTTTGCTGCTTTAGAGGGGGGCATTAGTGTCTCAACAATCTTGGTGGATTACGATTTTGCCACAACAGTGCAAACACTCTCGGCAAGCCTCACACTGAAACTCACGCTTGTACCTAAAACACCTACATCCCAGCCGTGTAGCATACTATATGCCTACTGTTTTATTTATCTACCACAAACACATTATCAAAGTCACTTACTTCTGAAATTTTTTTCTCCACATGGTTACTGACCGGCTGCGCCTTCTGGAAGTGTGCGTGTGAAGAGTTGAATTGGAAGGACAGCTCCACTTTCTTGCCACCACTCTTGCGCGGTTGCGGCTCCGAGCGGCCGATGGAGAGAGACGCGTTGTCACTCAGAATGTCACTCGTTGGAGACGTCAGTGTCGGATGTCTTTTGTACACTCCCCCGTCCTAACAACGCACAGTTGCAAAATGTAAGTAGAGAAGGGAACTTATATGTAGGTATACAGGTGTCTACAAAAGATTAGTACAATTTTATGCTTAATCTTTCCTGTTATTTGTTTCACAATTTTGGCTAGCCCTAATTCAGGCCCAAAACCCAAATGTCAACATTTCCAATTGATGAGAAGTTAAAGTCTGGCCCACAGACCCATAGTTACCACTGGATCTGAATAAATATACAATTTAAACATTTATTTAGTAAAATATAAGCATTTAAGGTAGATCTGACATCTGGCAGGAACCTTACCTGCATATTAGTCGACAGCACTGTGTTCCATTGTACACTAGTTGTAGTGCCAGCGTCGTCCGCTATACTGGACGAGTCAGGAATAACACTCTCCAGATCCCCTCCGGACGACTCCTTGCCCGGACATTGCGCTGGCATGACAAATGTCACCTCCAACTGCGGAACCAACGCCCCCACCACTACTGTAGGGCGAGAGTCTCTACTGGCGATACGATCACTGTCCATGGCCAGGAATGTTGTCAACTGTAGACAAAAATCATTTTTATACATAGTAGTTTATTTTTTTATTTTCACCTAGTTCAAAGATTGTTGTTACTACAACTAAGGTTCTGATGCTGGTTATGTCATGACCACGCAGTATATTACACAATGATAAAAGTTGCTCGCTTGGACGTCGTCAAAGGGTTTCTGTACACACAAACACAAGCGCATTGTATTAATAAATTACTGTACAAGACAAGAACTAATGTTCTCGTAAACGGAAACAGGTACATTATTTCATTGTACTGTGGCAGAAGCCGGCTGGAGAACATTTTTTCTTATCTCTGCCATGTGATATTATTGACAATGTCAAAAACAACGTCCCCATCTCAATAATTGATTGATTGATTGAATGGCATCTGCGTGATCGTAACACAATCAGCAATCATTCTAGACTGGGGCAAAAATAAAGGTTGAATAAATCACTAGCTGTATTTGTCTTCCCAGGGGAAGCCTAAACAATGAGTAAAAACATCAACAGTATCGTAATGTATTGTTTTGTGGGACGGGTGGACTCAGGGTCCTAGAACGTCGACCAAAGCTTATTGTGCCACCCTAATTGCTAACTAGGTAAGCCTATACCCGTGTCCGTGACCAACATTAACAAAACAACATTAAGTTTTAACCTTTACATGTGACTTAATCCCCGTCAACACACGATGTTGATCAGTCAAGAGAGGTTACATTGTTAGGAGTAACTTTTTGTCTTTCTACACACAATCAAATTTTTTATTTAGTACTCATCTTAGACACATTTATAAACTAGTTGCTTCAGCCTACCTCTGTCAGGTCATCGGCAATCCGCAGAAGGAACAAGAACTGATAATGATTCAGCTGGACGCTGACTAGGTTGGAGACGTGAGCCAACGCTCTAATGTCCGGTGCCGAGGGTGGCCCGACGTGGGCCCACAGGGTGAGTGGGAAGGCGTCAAAGAATGGCACGGGCCGAGAATTACCTACAGCACGCATGCCGTAGAATTCACCCCAAACCGGTTCTAACAGCACACACCTATAACAAGACAATAGGACAATCTCGCATCAAAAACCACATGGAGAAACATACCAAAAAGATGAAATGTTGACCACTCATCATGGAAACGGAGGACAATCTATGTATTCCGAAGAATCGTAAGAAATTAAATTACTTGGGAAGAATTGTATATTTATTAAAATTAAACTTAAAAATAGAAATGAGCTAATTAGTAATTAATGAACAGGTAAATTTTGACTCCAGTTGTACCTAGAAACTAGAAGTTGAACGTAAAAGAAGTTGTGAATAGAAACTGTTTGTCTGGAACTTCTGGTATAAGTAGTTCTTTACGATATATAATTCTGACGTCATAGAGATATTTAACTATTAGGTATGATGATGATGATCGTATTGTCCCACCGAAATTGATTACCTCTTATCATGTATTTACCGTCTTGTGATTCAACAATACAAGTATGTTTCAAGCATTATTAGACATACAGTATCATAAAACATATTCATTTATTTTATTTTAAAATAAAAAAAAGTAAAGTTAAAGTAAAAACATTTTCTAAAAGGTTTTATCCAGTATTTTTTATTAGTTTTATCGTGTAATTTATATTATTGCTCATGAATAGGTTTATTGCTTGATTAAAAAAAAAAAAATGGTGACATTAAACTGATGTCAATGAGTGCACTGAATTCTTCCTCACGCTCATACTCGCGTCTTGTGAGAAAAAGCACTCAATTTGTAATTTTATGGAAACAAATTATCTTGGATCAAATTAATTTATCTTGACTTAGCATTACACTTGATCAATTAGTTAAATCCATTAAATTTATTCTATAAAATTGTAAACCAACCAAACATCTTTAGCCTCCGTCCAGAGCAGTTCTCTATGCAAGTGGAGCATAGCTTGTTCTATCGAGTCGGAGGGAATCGGAGATGGTTCTGGCCGGACATTGTCTGTGCCTGAAACAAGAGAACTAGTCAACACTAAATAACAACTGTAAATAAACGATCCTGACTGATGAAACAGCTGACATTAGTTAGTAACAAAGCTACACAGATCATCTCACTCCACCCTACATTCGTTCTTCGCACTCATAGTTGGGTTGAAATATGCACCTAGGTGGCGTCCCCATCCCAACTAATTGATAATTGTACAACAGAGCTTAACTTTAACACATTAGCTACCAACTATACTCATCCCTAAGTTACAGAGCAGTGTGGCGGTCGGTAGGGAACGTGTTAATCATTATTTCTAGTTTATGTTTTTTGTTGTTTTTTTTTTAGTTTTATTCAAAGAAAAGGCTCATTGTAGGTAAAGATAGAGTTTTTTCTTACTCTACAATTGACAAAGATCCTTAGGACGAAATAATGTATGGTTATTGTTTCTCCTGTGTGTTTTAGGGACTGTCTGTACTCCTTCTGATTGTTTTATCTATATATTAATTTGAAACTGTTTTTCTTTGTCATAGCTAAATTGAAAGAACGGCTGGGCGTAGAAACTCGGTAGAGGTGTCTAAAGAAAGGTCTTGGTCTGTAGATGAGCCATCAAAAGAGAAACGTGGTAAATTCCCTTGGGGCTCTGCCCCAGTGGCCTTTGAATTCCCATCCCATGTTATTCTTATGGAGGAAAAACTGGGTTTTTGTCCCAGCTAATTTAAGAGAACGGCTGGGCGTAGAAACTTCGTAGGGGTCTCTAAAGAAAGGTCTTGGTCTATAGATGAGCCATCAAAAGAGGAACGAGGTAAATTCCCTTGGGGCTCTGCCCCAGAAGCCTTTAAAGTTGCCTCTTCAAATTTGTTTACCATATGCATAATTATTCTACACTACTTTTTAATGAAACAGCTGTTAATATTTAAATAGTGATTTATTGAATTTTTCAAAATAAATTACTTGCAATGGGTTTTTCTGATTTTAAAATCGATTTTATTCTGCATCGTGTCATGTTTTGCAATATAATGTTCTATTACCAAATCAGTGGAAAATCCTAATATCACAGTAACTCTTAAAATTATTTCTTATGGAGTTAACTTATATCTATTGTATGGCTTGGTTTCTGCCTTTTTTACCACTTCTTGGAGATTGTACGTAGGTGATATTCTTTGGCGTATTGCATCTGTAGACGAAACTTGGGTTGGTAAAATTATTACAATGGAAAAAGCGAGAAATCCTGGACAATTTGATATAGGCTAAAAATAAAACTGAATTAACAATATGCTACATGCTACATTTCTTTGAGCAATCATTGAAATAACCGATTTGCAAACAATGGAAACATAGAAAAAGTCATAGAACACAACCAAGTAGAAGAAAAGAAATAATGTTTTTTTCATTTATAATCGTTATTATAGACAACCTAATGCGGCTATGAGAGGGAAAAATTTGTAGAGACACTAAAAAACAAGATCAGCTTTTTGAGAAAAGACAAGATATTTACAAAAGATTTTGATTATATCTAACTGTTATGTAGATCATGAGTATTTCCATAATCTTCGTGAGTCGCCTGTAATGCTTCGCAATTGCTCGAATTCGAGCAACAGGTACACTAGTAGTTAGTAATTGTGAAAACTTTCAACAAATGTATTCATCGATGTTAGTACAAATGTCATCCAGTATAGTATGCAATTGTGAGATGGTATTAGCTACCAGTACTGTATTAGGCTATGTGTACAATGGTTTAGTTTTTATTATGGATGGAAAACGCAAACTATATCTCTATTAGTTTTTTTTACTGACTACTGGTTTAAGGTTCATAGAACGGAAAAGTGCTGGTAAATTACACAGGTAAAGTGGTATTACACAAATTAGCTATGGAATTCGATTGTGGGGAAACTCTGCTGCCTCCAACAAAATATTCACTTGGCAAAAAAAAGCTATCAGGACTATTATGGGTCTTACTAAACCTGAATCTTGTAAACCTAGTTTTATTCAGCTCAATATTTTAACTTTGCCATCACTGTATATTTTTTCCAACCTTATGTATGTAAAAGAAAATTTAGTTAACTTTCCCTTGCAGCACAGCAATCATAATCACAACACTAGAAATAAGCACAATATTGTTACACCTTATATTAGATTAAGTAAAACCTTCAAAAGTTACCATTATCAACAGTACCTATTGTTCAATAAGTTACCATTAGAAATTAGAAATCTGTCTGTAAAAAATTTTAAATCGTATGTAATGACATTCTTAAAAACAAATGCCTTTTAAACTGTAGAAGATTTTTTAAACTTGTAGGTTAAGCCACCAATGTCATGTGGATAAAGTAGTATCTAAGTTGAAACACTCAAAATGCTACATTCAGCCCTATGTGTTGTACTGTATGACGTTGCCTATTACTGTAATAAGTTTAATGGCATTAATAAATTCTTATTGAGTCTTATATATTATTGAGTCTATACACAACACATTTTTACCAGCTCAGCTTTCTCATTATAAGTCATTAATTTACTAATCTTACTGACAGTTTTCCCAGTTTTACTTCCTGAGTAAAAAAAAAAATAGATAAAAGTAACACAAATATCAGATAAATTTATTTTCACAAATTACATGCCAACGTAAACCAAATAAGTTATTGTGGTGGTTGATCACTAGATTGCGGGGTTTGTTCACCAGGCTCCGCAGCGTTGTTAGTTTGAGGCTCGGCTTGATCAGGTGTCTGATTGTCTCCTTCGTGTTTGCGGCTTCTACGACTGCGTTTGCGGCTTCTACGACTGTGTTTGAATCGTCGCCGAGCCCCAGTGATATCATCCAGATCATCGTGCTTCCTAGTATATCTACGACGGCGAAGACGAGCCTCATTGAGTTCATCAGAACCATGTCTTCTACCGCGACGTCTAATAGAACGTCTTGTACGTCGTGCCTGTAGGTTTGAGAAATTGCGACGGTGTCCCGTCCGTATCGACCTTCGTCGTCTACGAGCCTCTAGCGTAACTCCTCTCCTATATCTGCTAAGGCTCCTGCGTCTTCGTCGAGCTACTAGTATCGCATGGCGTCCCATTCGGCTACGATGTTTATGGCTTCGTCGTGATTTCTTTCGCCGACTACACACATTGCAATCGCTATTGTGTCTTCGAACACTGCGGCGACGTCGATGTACACTCCTTCGCCTACGTGAATCTGATACTACGGTTTCATCAACGCCTGCTGGATACAGACGATTTTGTTTGGCGGCCAAAAAACCTTCATCAACAGCCATTTTCAAAGCCTTCTTGTAGTCGGGGAGGGCTGTGAGGCCGTAGTTGTGACGGAGATACTCAGCCACAGATGAAATTGTCACCCCTGCCTTCTTGTAAAGGTTGTACACTGCAAGCACCACCGGGCCTAGTTTTGCTCTCTTCATTTTACGATAATTTAAAAATTTTTCCAAAACAAATTTTGATACAACTCAATTTAAAGCCATTAGAATTTTGACTGTTGCTATGTTACAAATTATCATTAAATAAGCAGCTGTACAATTTTGTAAATTTGGTTAATTTTAACTTAGCAACATTAAAAAGACTCCAATTTTACCTGTTATTTGGTTTTACCTTGAGAAAAATTACACAACACAATTTACAAGTCTATTTTTATTATTATTGAGTGTAGTAAAAAACAGTGTGTGCTGATTAGGCTTTTAATAAGTGATAATTGTTCTCGGTTAAATAAACAGCTCTTAGCGATAAACAGTTATACAAAGTCCACTTACCTAACACTTAACTATCATTCCTATTTGTAAACTCCGTCTATTAAATTAACGATGTTATCCAGCAAAAGTCTACAAAAAAACAATCCCAGGGTGTACCATTCCCTTACAGTAACCGTTCACAATTCCAATCGCATTAAACTTTAGTAACAACTAGTGAACTATTTTGAATGATTGAATGCTACTTACACTGAACGTGGCTAAGAAACTTGTCCGTGAGTACAGCCAGGTCATCCGGTTTCGAAGGAAAGTCTGTATTGTAGAACAAAGAGCCGAGCTGGTAAGCGTGCACACACTTGGCCAGGTCTGCGCGAGAACATCGCTCTACACTGCGCACGTTTGTGATGCTTGCGCGAGACACGTTGAAGTGCAGAGAGCGAGGACGATCTTTCTGTCCCAACTGTTCACCCACACTTTCCAAGACCAACTAACAGACAAAATATTTGATTTGATAAGTTTGTATTTTTTTTATTGGGTTTTAAAGGTAGTTATAGTTGAGTGAGGGACTTTTCATGTGTAAGAATCTTGTTATAGTGTGAGTATTGTTATATAGTGAAAGGTATGGTCATACTAACCAACTCAAGTAGACTTCTCATTCCATTGTAAATTTTGAAGCTTGATTATCACGTCTAGTTTATGTATCGTGACACTGGGCGCTAGTGTCAACAACATTTTGTTTCCATTATTTTAATCTTAATTTCATTATTTGAGTCTTACTGTTTTGTTATATAACTAGGGGACGAGTTATTGTTAATGATTAGATCGTAATATTTGGCTAAACAAGGTTTTAAATTAATGACATAACAAGAAACGAATGTTATGTTATTTTTTCTGGTGAGGCCAAAAACCTACTGAGGTTTGAGTGGCCACATGGTAGGTAAGGTAACAAGAAACAAATTGTAAACTAAACACGACCTCTACAGTGCACCGTACAGAACTAACAATAACATTGGCTACAGCTATTCCAAGTATGAGAAATCTAATGATTGTTTTATCCATGGTATGGTCTTCTAATCATAACATAAATAACACAGGTCAAAATCTTCAACATTAGATGATTTGTATGGTTTTAATTTATAACACAAAAAGAATACAAATATTTTTGAAAGCATAAAAAAGTATAAAATAATGTATAAATCATCTGAGGGTTTCTAACATCGCTACTGACCATTTGGTTACTAGTGAATAATAGGAGGGTTGTCCGTAAAGTATCCACCAAGCTCTCTCAGTACCAGGAAAACTGATTCAAATATAGACCGGCAGCGCAGTGTAGCTTACCATCATTTTTGTATGACAGAACGTTATTAATACTGAGCAGTAACGTTGATTTTTTCTATACAATACTAATTGTCACAAAGTGGTGGGAACTAGCTAGATTCGTAGTATATGAAGTAAAGAACACCTTTACTGTTCTTTACTTCATATACTCTATAGTAACAGGTTTGAAATAGGTATTTTGGCTACGATGGGAGCTTGACGGAGACGTTATACGGACAACCCCGGTGCTTAATATGGCTTAACTAATAGATCAAATAGATCACTCACCCTGGGCATAATGGCCTCCACCTTGACATCAATGTATGATAACGATGCAGCGTCCTTATCGGCCCCTGCGGCATTAGAAGCGGCCGAGAGCAACGGTTTTTGTAGCGACAGAGCGAACGAGTTCAGCCACAACAGAGTAAGCACGTCAAAGTGTATTTGGACAGGGTTGACATGTACGTAAAACTTGGGAGGCGGAACTGAAACAATGTTGGCTAGGTTAGGTTAGCTTAGGGTAGGTTAGGTTAGGTTAGGTTAGTTTAGGTTAGGCTAGGCTAGTTTAGGGTAGCATTAACTATTGATGTAATTCTTAAAAGTTCTAGATACTTCTAGAATACTTTCTAGAACTTCTAGATTGAATCCTAGTAAAATTCACTGCCCTTTTTAGACCTGCTGATTTGAATATTTGTCTATAAAGTATCTTGGGTTGCTCTTTGCTAGTTATATAATGGAAAGTTTGATTATAGTCTGTGTGATGTAACCTGTCTCCTGACCATTGGTCTACCTGGGAGTGGCCCGGACATTTAAACTACTGACCAATCCCCAGATATAGAGAGAGACTGGAGATAGGTTCCATCAAACAGACTATAGCCTAAAGTTAAATAAAAATTATCACATAGAATGTTACATGGAAATAATAGGTTCCATCATACAGAGTATAATTAAGCTTTTTTTTAAATCAGCTACAACTGAATTTGTTTTCACAACACACTATGTTGACAAAATTTAAAATACAACCCTAGTGTACTAATCTTGACCTTATAGGCTCTGGTACATAAAATGATGGTAAACAAAAATATATAGATAAATTATTGCATGTATATCTGTGAAACAAATGGAACTGTAAGAGAATTTATCGTCCAACAAAGTATTAATTTGACAAAAGTTGTAGTCTATGTTAGAATTTCAGTTACTTACGAGGAAAAGGCTCATCCCCAGGATAATAATAGTACGTAAACTCTGCGTGCAACGTCATTAGCTCAGGTACGCTTGGTATGGCGTGACGTTCTTTATCACCTGAACATACAACATGCAGCGTAAACCATCAAATGTAAAACATACAAAATTGGCATGAAGGCGTACTATAATATCACACTTCAAAACAAGGAGAAGTGGGAACCTGTAAGTGTTTGGAATTTAATAATGCGTCACAAAGAAGTGGTTAGGTTAGTTAAGCTAAATATTTGTAAAAAATCAAACTACCAACTACTTTACCCAATCTTTAACATGTTAGGCCTATCACATTTAGGTTTCTTAGCATATTTTCTCAGATGGGAATCTGGAGGCTTGCTGTGATAGTGGCATTTCTCAGTGTGATAATTATATTTATAATTATTAATTAATTTGGAATAAAAAAAATTAAACAGAAGTTTTTTTTTAAGAATTGTGCTAGATTTTAATGAGTACTTAAGATCCATGCAAATACAAGAAAAAAATACACTCTTAAAAGCATGTTACCTGCCTCAAATTTCAGATATTGTGCCCAAAACCATGCACCAAAAAACAATAATCATCCAAAAAAAAATTGTCTAACAAAATTTGCAGCATAAATTCTATCCCCGTAATTATTTTAGAAACGTGAACATTTTAATTCAAAAAGTATTTTAATTTTGCCATTTTTTACAAAATGGATGTTAACTGATTTTACAAAACAGTTGAAAAAAAGATAAAGATCTCTTCAAGTTGACTAAAATTTTTAAGCTAAATATTTTGAGAACAACAAAATAGTTACTTTCGAATGACAACCGCATAAGTCTTCAGTCAGTCAGTTGCAGGAAACTACAAAACCAAGACAGCAATGTAGTGGGTTTGCCCCGGTTCTGCCTCTTAAAATTTATTTTCTGTCCTAGCTCACTGTTGTTTGCTACATTTAAAAACAAACCTCAGACCCATGTCGACAGACAAATGCTTCATTAAAAAAGGCTACCATGTTTTAAAAAGTTGCAATCGGTCATTGTGCTTTCAAATTGGCCTAACAAAATGCAGACATAACAAATCAATCAAAAAATCATTTTTCACCATTCCCTCATGACAAAAACAAGAATATTTCAACAAAGTAGACAAAACACACAAAAAATAAACCCATTCAGTTTCTAAATGACAGTAGAACTCCAATTATCCTTACTACAATAATTTTAATCACCGATTATACAAATTGCTTACAGAAATAATTTTAAAAAACTTAAAATCACAGTAATTATAATCGTTATAAAAGAAGGCAGAAACCATGATAGTGGCAAAATCAAAAACCTCTTTTGCGGTCTTGTGAACGTTTTCAATTCAATTTGATATCTGCATTGTCTTCTGCAGTCACAGAAGTATCGCCATTGTTATCCGTGATCGTTACCAAATCTTTAATATCTCCTGCGGTCAAGTACAAATGACATTGTGTACATGACAATATTGTCTAAGTGACCATGTCTTTTGGGGTCATGGAAACTCATAATGATTTTTCATGGTCACGGCAATATCTTGAATATCTTCCCCAATCTTGTAGTCTGTTATCGCGGCGAAAGCGTGTACTTTTCAACACACACTCTTCACAGACGTATTCTATGACCGCAATAGTAAAAGCTAGGCATGACTAGGCCAATTTCTGTAAAATACCACTAATTTCGGTAAAACCCTAATTATCCAAATTATTTTCCATCCAAATCGGGTACGGCCCCAATTGATTCAGATACTCAGAGTTCTACTGTACCAAAAATAGTCATGCACCCAAAAATATCATTCTTTTGAAAACCAGCAACTACCGCTAATAATCATTCCAAACAAAAACACATTCTTCACTTGCAATTGAAACATAAACAAAAAACTGTTTTAGAAAACATTTGAACGCAAGTAACAATCATGCGACTAACTGACCATAGCTTCCCCCGGAGGCCACACTGGACCTTCGCCTATGTTGAGCTGAAACATTTGGATACTGAAGTAGACGTCTAATATGGAACAGCTGTTGTAAATTATTTTTTTTCAAATTTAACATAGGCCTAGTAGAACATATGCAACTCACAGATTGCAAAGCTGTCAAAATTTGCTCATTTGTCAAATCTTATCAGTTTTTGGTAGAAAGATGTTTGGTGTAGCTGGATAAAAATGTTTTTGCACTCAAACAGAAATCAGCTGTTGTTGAGGGCAAAATTAAACTACGTCCATCTTCATTGTAAAACCAGCGACAGCTTAAACGAGAATAATATTCCACTTATCAAAATGATAAATTAATGTAAATGTGTGTAAGAATAAGTTTTGAACAAAATAAAATTAGTGGAGTCGAGATAGTAAAAAAGTAAGCAGGTCTTCTAATGTATAGGAAACTGAATTGAGTAGGCACTGATCTTTCGTATACTGAAGTAGACATCCAATCTATATGGACCAGCTCATAAATGTTTTATCCAAAAAGAACACACTTAAGCGAGTCAATCACAAATTGTGCTGGTGTCTAAAATTCTATTTTCTTCGTAATCTTTTGTGATTTCAAAACAACTGAATGAGTGACCATTGAGTCTCACCTTTTACAAACTCTTTTTGCTGTTGTTTCTTCGCAGAGGTAGAAACTCGATAGAGCGTAAAGTCTTCGATCCTGATTATCACACAGGCTGTCATCAGTTTGGCCAACTGCGACAGAACGTAAGCTTTCACTGGGTTCTGGCTGGGTGACGGCCGCGAGTCCTTCAAACATTACAAAGTCTTAACAACACATGATGGAAGCAGAACATGAAAAGATAGTCAATGAGTACGGGTAAAACACTGATAAACCAAAATAAAGGGGACAATATCGTTTCGGATTGCAGTCGAACCTTGTTAGTACGAACCTCATTGAAACGAATTATTCGATTAGCCAAATTGTAGGGATGGTCAAGTCTCGAAATTTTGGGAAATTTTCGGGAAATTTTCAATCTCGTTACACGAGACGAGATTACTTTTTGGCCGAGATTTTTATCGAGACGAGAATAAAAAAAAAAAAAAAAAAAAAAAAATTAAAAACGCCTGCAGAAAGTCAATGCAATACCCGCAATACAGGAGCGTGTTGTAGTTGCGTTTCCTTTTCGAAGGCGTTCTTATTTAATTAATTCTTTTAATGTAAATATTAATTTAATTCTTTTAATGTAAATATTAATTTAATTCTTTTAATGTAAATATTACTTTCATTATTTTAATAATATTACTTTAATAACATTTGAGAAGTTTTGTTAAGTGTAAGCAGTGTGAGGAATGTTTTATTACTATAAAAAAAGTCAAAACAAGTAACTATTTTATAAAAATTACCGGTAATATTGCTTTTATTTTATGATTTATTTTATTTTAGGATAAGTTGAACTCTATCCTAACTGATATCACCATGTTTCCTAATCGTAGGCATTTTTAATAAGTTAGGCGTGATTAATAAAAAAATGTTATGCTGATGTTATTTAATGAAAGATTGTAAATATTCTTGCCTATTATCATTATTTTAGTATTTAAACAGTCATCTAACAATGTTACAAAATCAGGTAAAAATTTCGAACGTGCATTTCCCGTTGTGTATGAGAAGAGAAATCTCGTCTCGATCTCGTCTCGAAATTTTATGAGAAATAAAAAATCTCGTCTCGTCTCGTCTCGAACTAAAAATCCAATCTCGTCCATCCCTACCAAATTGTTTTAAATCCCCTTGAAACTTTCTTAAAGGTCAATGCTAAAAACACTTCTGTACAACGTAACAACTAGGTTAAAAACCTCCATAAGAAAAATTTGTTTGTAACATGGGCTACGACTGATTAACCTCTATACAACGAATATTCTTTGCATAATACCTCTATAAGACAAATTTCTCATGATCTTAACATCCATAGTACGTAGTTTTCAAAAACAACGAAGCTTGTCTCAACATGAAACCCCCACCCATCCCTCTTCCTTCCTCACTCATTGTCTCAGAGCGAGGAGGAACCTCTATACGGCAAATAATGGCAGTACTGAACCTCGATGAAACAAATCTCTTTATTAGAAATACCTCAATAATAAGAATTTTTTCTCTACCCCTGTAAATCCGTCTTATAGAGGTTCGATTGTACCTATTTTTTGGATGGTCATTAGTTTAAGGCTATCTCGGTCAAATAAGATCTGCAACAGTAGTTTTTTTACAATAGCTTACTTACTTTCGTCTTAGAATCTTTAAATGTATACAAAAATTGTCGACATCTGTTTTTTTTTAGCGAATTTCCCTATAGGGAAGTAGCTATTACCGTTGGTAAGACCTAGACCCGGGACCGATTTACTTTTTCATTTTGATGTCCCCAGAGGCCAAAAACACTATTCGTTCAAATTTTTATATATGTATATTAATAAATAATACACCATAGTACCCTTTTTTTAATTATTTTTAATGACTGATGCATTTCGACACTAAGGTCATGGTCACAGTCTTTCACAATGTTATTAAATCTAATATGTAAACCTTAGTTAATATGTGACCATGACCTTAGTGTCGAAATGCATCAGTCATTAAAAATAATTAAAAAAAGGGTACTATGGTGTATTATTTATTAATATTAATTACAGTAGCCCTACACAAGTACAGTATATAACAGTATCAAATATAAGTATATATATATATATATATATATATATATATATATATATATATATACTTATATATACGTCCGTGAACGCAATAATTTTCGTCCGATTTTGATGAAATTTGGTTTAAAGGTGTAAAGCGGGATAAACTTGAATGAGTTCGCGAACCAGCACGATCGGACCATGGGAACGGGGCTTTACCGGGGGTTTTATGGGGTAAAAATTGGGTTTTCTCACTTTTGACCCTCAAAACACAAAATTTCCCGATTTTCCTTTAGACTTTTTTAAAGAGCTTAAAAAAACAAATAATTTATTATATAAAAGAATTTTTTTTCGATTATAAGTAACGGAGAAAATTAAAAAAATTGTATATTTAAAATTCTCATGTTATTCTTATGGAGAATATTGTCAACTGTTGTAGTTTGCTTGTTTATGGATATATTTTGATCAAACTTGGCAAATTTATTTATTTTGTACTAAGCTATCAATATTTTACTCAAAAACACACTTTATTAGTTTCCTTGTAGCAGCAAACCTAGGTACTCGTTAAACCTAATGTTATTAAAATATATTTAACTGAAAATCAATTCAGACAAAATGAAATTCGCTTAGTCGGCAGGTTTGCTGCGGCGGGGGTATTAATGTATTGAGACCTTCAATAAATAATCATACAGACCACCTGTCAGTAAACAAGTAACAGTACAATAAATTTTTGAACTCATCCAAACATGACTTAAAAATTTGATCTGTTTTTGTAATCAACAAACCATCTATGTAAACCACCAACCTATGTAAATAAAGACTATTGTCTATTGAATAGCTAATACGTGATTCTTAGAGTATTGAATCTATCTAATGAAATATAAAGAACATATTAACTAGGTATCTTTACAGCGACAAAATTCTGATAGTGGCAAAATGACTGTTATTTCTCAATTGTGACTATACGCAATGATCTGATTTTTCAAGGTGATTTAACTACAAATGCTTCCAGATGGTTACTAAAGACAGTTACATAATTCTGTTTAAGATATTGTGTATTTTTATGAGTACACAACATGACAACAACGAATTGATAGTGGTTACAAGGCTGCTACTCTTCACTAGTGACTTATCACATTGAGTGATTATATCTAAGATACTGTGATAATGTAACTATGTCACTGTAACGTTTGTGCATTTATGATGAAGACTATGTGACTGTGAGCTTGTGATCTTTTTATTTCCAATGTTGAATAAGTGTCTGAGGCTTAGTTTTTTTGACTGTGTCCATGACTTTGTGATGCTGGTCTGTAACTTTGTGATACAGACTATGTGACTAATATTTTTGTCATATTTAACATTTGGCTGTATCTTTTATATAACCGCCTACTTGCCTGTGACTTTGAAATAGTGACTATTTAACCATGACTTTCTTATGAGAAGGTGGACTATGTGTCATAACTTGAGAGAGAACTTAGTGATGTTAACTACATGTTTGTGTTGTGACTGTGACTTTTAGAAATGAATTTGTAATGTTGACATCGTGACAGTTGACTTTGAGACAGTGACTTTGAGACATTACTTTGAGAGATGGCTTTGATACATTGACTTTAAGGCGACTTTGAGAGATGACTTTGAGACAGTGACTTTGAGGCAGTGACTTTGAGAGATGACTTTGAGACATTGACTTTGTGACATAACTTTGAGGCAGTGACTTTGAGACATGACTTTGAGAGATGGCTTTGAGACAGCGACTTTGAGGCATGACTTTGAAAGATGACATTGAGGCAGTGACTTTGAGGCAGTGACTTTGAGGCAGTGACTTTCAGGCAGTGACTTTGAGCAAGGCCACACTAAAAAAACAGGCCGTAATGCTCGTCAAGCTTGACGTCACGATAGAAGACGGCAATGGCATAATGTTTAATATTTTTGTGACAAAGGGTATTTGTTTATTTATTTTCCAAGGAAAGATTAAAACAAGCAGTTGATCACAAACGGTAAACTATGTCATTGCCGCCTTCTATCGTGACGTCATGCTTCACGAGCATTACGGCCTGTTTTTTTAGTGTGGCCTTGCTTTGAGGCAGTGACTTTGAGGCAGTGACTTTGAGACAGTGACTTTGTTATGTTTATTTAATGACAGTGGCCTTATGATTTTGATTATTTATTTGCCAACTATGTGACGGTGTACCTGAGCGGGGTGTGCCATGTGATGTCCTATGTCCACCAGTTGCAGTAGGGTGTTGCGGAACACACTGTGCGCCTGATTGAGCCACTGCGAGTGAGGACTGTTGCCCTCCTTGTACTTAGCCCAGTGGTGCCTGTCCCCAGTCGCCAGATGGTAAGGGTAGTAGTCGACCTGGAAGTTGTGAAGGTTGATCTGGAAAGCTCCTCCAACCTGGAGATCCGGATGACACGATCTTCCAGCTGGGGAAGAAAACTAACTTATATTTCGTCGGAATTTAATAAAGTTATATTTTGAATTTCGATAAAAAGAAAAAGCAGTCTAACTTGAATAAAATATTGTGTTAATATTTTTTCAACCTCAACTGCTTTAGCGCAGTAGAATAACCTATCTTTGCAGTGATCTGAAGATAATGATCATTTAATTCAAATATATTTGAAAAGCGAGATTGCAGTGATAACATTCCAAAACAGGACTATTGTGATTGTTTGTAGGATTTAGGACAAATCAGGGATAATCCAAGGTCACAGAATTATCAGAATGAAATGCTGTTGTTGAATTGAATCTGAGCTTAAAGGACTTACGTTCTTCACTGCAATTCACTGCTCTATCACCTTATACACTGGACCTATATCAGTAAACAACATTTTTTTTAATAGGCCTAGCAAGCAAAGATTAAAGCTATTTCTAGACTTACATACTCTATTGTTTTTAAACCATACTAACTTCCAGGGTCCTCGCTGAGGTGCAAATCTATCTTTGCGCAGAAGAAGTGATATGATGTCTCGATGAAGTCGTAACGAGCGAATATATCACACATTGTATCTCTCGGCTCCGTGACTCTCGCTTGTTGAGCTAACTGCGCTTGATATTCTGGTAACACCTGCGGATGAAACAAACGTTGAAGACCAATATTAATTATTTACGTAACAATGGATGGTTTGACAAAAGGTTCTGGTTTGAACAAAAATATTGACTACCTCTAATTTGCGAGCAGCTTTTTTTGTGCGCGTGACCTCGGTATCTTTCTTCACCAGACCAGAGAGCGAGTCTATGAAGCAAAGAGCTGCCTTGAGCTGAGAATCGGTGAGAACCCACAATAGATCGTCTAGCAGTAGCGCCAACCGACATCCCATCACGAAACAATCTGAAAACAGTGGCAAAACATTAGAACATACTATAACAAAGTAAAAATACACTAAAAATCATCTAGCTCTGCAATAGGTTGCTCTTTTTGGGTTGATTGTTGAAATTATTTGTTTGACAATAGTTATTGCTAATTTTATATCCCTAACCCCATATCCCCCCAGGAATTCCTACTTTAATTTCCCTGAAATATTTTTACTAAATGATGTTTGTATTTAGGATCTAAACTAAAATAATCAAAATAAAAAAAAAATAATCCCACCTTAAATAGCTCCACTTAATGCTTCCAAAAACAATCAAATGACCAAGATTAGAATTATTTGAAATGTGAATACGAGCTATGATGTATAATAATAAACACACCAAGTGAAACAGTAAAAAAAAACTTATGAAACAAGCTAAGTTAGTAGAGCCATGGTCTTTGGGCTCAAGGCAGAAACGTCATAGGCTCAGATCCTGGTCCCTACGACTACTTTTTATCAGTACAGCTATTGTACTGTACTGGCTCAACTCTTGCTATGCTAAATACGTTCCAAGCATAGGCCTCTGTGGCCTATAAGGACGAGAAAATGCAAGGAAAAGATGGTGACAACCTCTTTAAAAAAAAATACAGTGTGTGATTTCCTTTTTTTATTAACTCCCAGATTATTAATAGTTCTACGTTAAGTTCCTTGGCTTTCAGCCTCAAACATTTCCCTGGCCCTAAACCAATCGCTGACTATTCACGATCTTTCTGACTTTCCAGGTCTCGTAAACCCTACTTCAATTACTCACCCGAGAGCCGTTTCTTGATGGTGATCCGACACCGTGTGAAGTTAGTGAGCAGTCGCAACGGAGGCAGCTCCGAGTCCTGTATGGAACTGGCTTCTATCCTCACTGTCTGCCATTCCAGCTCCTTAAAGATGAGGATTTGTCCTTTCTTTGGCTCCTTGAGCTTTGTCAGTCTCAAGTCGCCTTTCTTCCAATCCGGAGTCTTGGATTGCACAACTATCCTTAGGATCTGAGGAGCAAAGTGAATAATTGTAAACTGTCACCATTGTCTTACAGATACTGAAATATACATCTTGTCTGTATGAATCAGAATCTAGCCATTTTTCTATTGAACATATCTACTTGAATAAACCAGTCACAGAAAAAGCTGTAGTCAATTGTTTTTCTTCTTTATTTTTGGTACTGTGACATTTGATGCAAAACAAAATATGCTACAATATTACACATTCTTTCAACAAAGGTTAAATTTTTTTGGAATTCAACAGAAACCAATATTTGACATTAGGGACTAAGATAAATTCAAATACCTATTAAGTTCTTTTTAATGATAAACTATTTTTGAGTAAACAAGGAAGCAAATTGATAGTAAAAAATGTTTATTTAAATAATAAACGATTGATTTGAAAATACTATATATAAACATAGATTTGAATTAATTTTGTTTGTCATCAAAATTTTTAAAGAATAATTTTGTGTTTACAGTGACAAAAAAAAATATAATTAACAAGCAAAATAAAAAAAATCCTTTGTTCCTTTAAATCTCAACAAAGAGCAAAGTAGTGATTTGCATGATCACAAAAGAAGTGTTAGCTTATAATATTTACAATACAAGGACACTTTATATTTAGATAGATGGCATGATTTAATCAAGGTTAATGCAGTCTCACATTCAGAATTGACTAGGTTGAACTTTTGGTTAATACAATCACTATGATAAACTCACCAGCATTAAAATACATCTTTTGACTTCAATAATTATAACTTTATATTATTTCGTAGTTTGTGTTAGGCCTACACAAATGTTCTTGGGATTTTCAAAATATTTGTTTAACTTTTTTATTAAAAAACTAGGCTATTTGAAAGCCATTACTAGTTGTGTTAGGCTATTCTAGTTGTGTTAGGCTATTTATCTTCAAATAAAAAATAGATAACTAACCCTAAAACCTGAAAAACCCAATAGTTTAACAAATTGAATACGTTTGCAAATAAACAGCCACAAAAGCTTTAAGTAAAAATGTTTTGACGTTTAGATTCCATGCACAGTTAGAAAAGTTTAATTATTTACAGCAACCGTTGGACGGAGATGAACCCTTGAAGTGTAAATCAATCAACCAATGACACACAACTCTGGCCTTTGATCTTTTCCCATTCATCCCACAGATTTTCCGTTCATTGACATCACTTTATTGGGCGTGTTAGACATAAATAACACACAAACACCCTAAAACAATCTAACAGGTACCAATGAACAACACTTGGGTTTATAAAATTTACTTGAACCAGTTTTTTAAAGTTTTTTTTTGACTGAATTTGCTTACAAAAAACTGAAACATTGTAAACATGATGAAATTATTATCAAAGTTTAAAATGAGTTTAAATTTAGCCAACGATTAATTTTACCAGAAAAATTACTGAAACCACAAGGCTGAATCAATGTTTAAACATTTATTTTCTCTTGAGTCTGTAAAAATAATTTTAAATTTCCAGGTTCAATTCGGTAATTTTACATATTTTTTAAGGTTTAATGTATATTTTCTGCTGTATTTAATTCGATAAATTTATTTGTTTTTTTTCATGGATGTGGAGAAAAGATCGTTATTAATTACTTCATATGGAGTTATTTCATATGTAAGCCAAGGTGCTTCTAAATGTACCGTACTAGTAATTAATGTTTATTGAAATTTTTAGTATTCATATTTAAATGGACGATCTCCATAGATGAATATTTTAAATAGATTACCTTGTAAAGTAATAATTAATAAAAATATTGAATTTGGTTTGATTCACTATTTAAAAGCCTAGTAATGTATGACCAAGTAAATTAATGAAGGTATCTAGTTCCAAAGATTATATTTTCAATCATTAAGTTGTCTAAGAAACCTTACTCCAATTGTTACTTGGTGTTTCAAAAATTAGTTAGTGGCAAGAATCATGAAATAATAAAAATAAGATTCCATAAAATATAAATTTTATTTATTTCCACATTAAAAGATGATATGTTCAATAGGCAAACTTGTTTTTAGATTAACAAAAAACTTATTAATTAATTAGTAATTGTTAAGATTCTACTAGGTCTATATAAAACAAACAATTACTATTTTGTATGACTCAATTTGAATCTGGAACTCGACATTTCATTACAAATTCACACCACGACAAATTTAGGCATCCTATAAAGGGATATTTAGTTTCCCAGACATATTTCATCCTAATGTTACAAGTTAATAAATAATAAATGTTTCGTACGATTGTACGAGAAACAAATCTTTACTTCTTCTCACCTGAACAGATGCGGTGAATGCAGGACTTTTAAACTTGACTTTGACCATATTAACGCAGATTGTCATTCCATCGATCACTTTGTTGATGAAATTGTATTTCGTAGCGGCTCCAAGAGAAGAGAGTGGTTGATGAGCCGACATCGAGCGCAACTCCTCACATGTCTCTATATTGATGTGAACCTCATCCAGCGACTAAAACAACAATCAAATAACAGTTAAAATTCAAAGGAAAAAAGGTAAAAATTTGTATTAACAATCAGGCATAGGTGCTGTAACATAAAACTTATATTACTGTTTTATAGGTTAAAATTATGTTTGCTAAATTCTGTTTTTTTTATTTCAACAAAATTATTTTTTGTTAGATTGTAGGGCTGTTCAGTCAAGTTGTCTTTGTTTTTTGTAAAAATTTAAATGTCTTTTTTCCTAACAGTCTATCTGTAATTCTCATCACATAACCATATGAAAATCTCCTTTGCTACAGTCATTCACCGCAAATCACATCTAATACAGTAGACTCACTCTTTTCCGGACACCTTTTAACCGGACATCGGTTTAACCGGACTACACTCGGGCGCCTTGGCAGAAATTGCATCTCTATAACCGGACAATTTTCATCAGCACATCGATTTCACCGGACTAGATCGGCAGGAAGTGGACAGTACTGAAACGACTGTTCTTGTGGGAAAGATTTGAGACCAGTGATCACGTGTCTAAATACAATAATTCAGAGTATTAACTTATTGAACAGCCGTCCACATAACATATTACTCTCGATCTTTAGTTGCTTTGTTACTGTTAAGCATGCACAACAATGTACTTTCACTGTGTATTGGTTATAACCGTTAATGAATAAATAAATAAATGGTTTCCTAAATTTCATAAATAAAGTCAAATATTTGGATTACATTAAGAGTTTTTCAGGACGTCAGTTTAACTGGAAAACCTGTTAGACCTCGGTCCCGAGGAGTGCGGATAAGAGGGAGTCCACTGTACAAAAATGTACTTAATTTTTCTCTTGTAAATTAAACCTCTTTTATACCAAAACCCTCAATTTTTTCCTATCTAATATTTAACTAAAAGCCAATGTTTTGTAAATCTAGTTTTTAAATAATCGACAATGTCACCTGTTTCATCAGCATTGCTGGAAACTTGAAATGTATTGTGACAATAAAGGAATATTTCATTTCGTTTCATTTCAATGTTTAAAAGGCTTCCACGATCATTAACACTACAAACTTCTAAGGTGATCTCATGCCCGATTGTATCGTAGACAGAAGCCTTTTACTACATTCTGAAGTTTTATGCTCATTGTGGAAAACCAACTTTAACAAGTTCACCAGAAAAATATCAGAAGCTACTGATTAAAGATTATTTTTGCACACTCCTGCTATTAGGGTGGTTGTAAAAAACTTGAAATTAGGTCTTCATGGAAAAGCTACAGCAATAAGTTACACCTTTATACAATAAGTAAGTAGAGTTAAGTTATACCGTACCCCGTACCTATACTTTACCTACGGCCGTTTTTTTCAAGTAACCTTTTCATTTCAGTTCTTAGAATTAAAAAGATTCACTTAACAGTAGGCCTATTTGTTACTTTACAACAAGTTTAAAGGACCAATGAGGTTCAAGGATTGAGAGAAAAGAGGTAAAATTGCAATACTTTCAAACGTCAACTTATCAGCTGTTAAGGCCAATTTAATTGATTATTAAGTGAGTGAGTGGTTGGGACAACGAGTAGTTGAATCACTATCAGTGGCAATGAGAGGTTATAAATGAAAACATAACCTCTATAGACTTATGCGTAGTGATAGTTAGTAATTAAAAAAACGATGGTAGGTAAAGTAGTGAACGTAACTCGCGTAATTAGCCTTTAAGACACTTGAAGAAACTTAAGACACTCGCCAAGTCTCGTACCTTAAATTATCTACTTGTCTTAAGACTATCTTTATGCGATCGTTGTGTAAACTACTGTTAAAGTAGGCCTATTAAATGATAAAACTCTATGACTAGTAAAGTATTTAATATTTTACTAACCAAATGTATCGGAACACTCTTCAGTTTTGTCCATTGTATCCTAAATGTAACCTTATTACACCAAGCACTTGTCAGCCGTAACCAAGAGGGAAGCTCCAACAAATCGGTTAACACTATTTCATCTAGCTCTAGAGATGTGAGTTCCCCCTCTCCTTTGAATGTACTCAAGTTTATTTTGTCTGCAGATAGGTTTTTAGTATACCTGAAAGAGAGAAAGATCTTTAGAAAATATGTTTATCACCAAGATTTATTTTAATAGTTGTTACGGCTTAATTTGTTCCTTTCGTTACGCCTTAGATTGTCAACATATAGGTTAGGCTACAATATTGACTTTTGAATGAAAATTTTCAAAGTTTTGACTTTGAAATCAATACTAGGGAAGATATAACTTAAGTTAAACCTCGGATAAACCCAGGTTTGAAAATCAACATAGGGTAATTCTTCTAATGAACCTTCAGGTTTGGGGTTGATAACTTTTTTAGACCTTAATTTCAGTCAAGTTAGCTATCAAGGTCTTATAGGCTGAGTTATAAGGGATTAAAAAAACTCTTACTGTACTCATAAAATTAATGGTTGAGGTGTGACATGAATTTGTAGTGAACTGATCAACAATCCAAGATCATCGATCTTGAGTCTGGTGAAGGTAATCTCACCATTAAGTATAGTAATGGAATTCCAAAAATTGTCCAGTCAAAAAACGACTAAGCACCAACGGCATTGAACACTTTTCCTTCTTGTATGAAAATGTTAATGGGATTCGTTCCAAACTCACGTCTTTACATGCCCTTGTCCCCATCTCTATGAATAAAATTATTATATTTACTGAAACAAACTTGAATCCCACAATTACTTCTTCAGAGCTTGGCTTTGATGGATACGTTGTCTACCGAAAGGATCGTTCGCCCCAAACAAGTAGCAAGCAGGATGGTGGGGGTGTTCTGATTGCCGTCCACAAGACTATTTTTTCATCCGAAATTGTACAGCCCGATTTACCAGTGGAGGCACTGTGTGTTCTTGTTAAACTTACAGCCAGCTGCAAGATAGTTGTCTGTGCAGCCTATATCCCTCCTCAAGCTCAAACAAGACTCTACTCTCTGTTTGCTGAGTCACTAGTGGAAGTATTGTCCGTCTACCACAACTATGACCACATACTAATTGCTGGGGACTTCAATCTACCTGGCTTCAACTGGATCCACCCCGAACTGTCAACTGCTACTCCACCGGTGAACATAATTTTGGACTTGGCTGCACATCTTGGTGTCAATCAGATTAGTGATGTGGTGAATGATAGAGGAGTTCAGCTGGACTTGATCTTTGGGTCATCCGACGTCTTTACCGTGTCACATGCTAATGACCCCCTCCTTGCCCAAGAACCCTGCCATCCTAGCTTGTATGTTTCTGCAGATATCCCTAAACCATCGATCGAGCGTCCAAAGCACCATACTTTCATCAGGAACATTCGAAGATGTGACATTGAAAAGGTTAAAATTGACCTCCAGGACGGAGCCATTCAGCTCGACTATGATTGCAGCGACGTTAATCTTCAATTCTCCACTTTTTGCAGTCAACTCAGCGAACTCATCAAATCTCACTCTCCTTGGAAGTCTGTCAGTCCTTCCGTCTTTCCAAAATGGTTCTCCAAAGAGCTTAGGGAACTTGTTATTCTCAAGAAGACGCTTCACAAGAAATATAAGATATCTCTCAACATGATTGACTACCACAACTTTAGCGTCATTAGGGACCGATGCTGGGCTGTTTCCAGGGATTGTCGCTTGAGCTACGTCAACCATGTTAATACTACCATTTCCACTAATGTCAAGATCTTCTGGAGTTTTGTGAAGAATCTCAATCGAACATCTTCCATGCCATGTTCCCTTAAACATGGTCCAACTGAGGTTTCCCACCCACATGAGATGTGTGAGCTGTTTGCTGAATATTTCTCATCCGTCTACTCTCATGCGTCCCTTGATGAGCTGCCAGTACCTTCATTTGATACTCCATTCACCATCTCAGAATGTGCTATCTCCCTAGAAGATATCAATAAGAAGCTTCTTCACTTGGACCCCACCAAGGGTAGTGGACCTGACAACATCACACCAGGAGTACTCAAATTCTGCCACTCTGAGCTGGTACATCAGCTCCATTTCCTATTTAACCTCAGTTTGTCTACAGGCACATTTCCCTCCACACTGAAATATGGTCATGTGGTTCCAATCTTCAAAGCCGGTGATCGTTGTGATGTTACAAATTACAGGCCCATAGTAATCCAGTCCGTCCTCAGTAAAGTTTTTGAAGGGCTTATTTTAGACATAGTACAGCCTTTATTTAAACATATCATAATTGATGAGCAGCATGGCTTTACCTCCGGTCGCTCCACTGTGACGAATCTTTTATCCCTCCAGTGTCTGGTGTTGGAAGCCTTTGGTTGAAGAAATCAAGTTGACGCCATTTACATTGACTTTAGTAAAGCTTTTGACAAGATAAATCATAGCCATCTGCTTGCAAAGCTCCAAGGCTATGGGTTCGCTGGAAGGATTCTACAATGGTTTAAGAGCTACCTTACCAATCGACGGCTTGCTGTACGCCTTGGTTCTGAAGTCTCTTCTTTCTTCGCTGCAAGTTCTGGTGTTCCTCAGGGGTCTCATCTTGGACCGTTCTTGTTTTCCATCTTTATTAATGACATCAAGAAGGTCATCAAAGTCCCATTTCTTCTATTTGCGGATGACATTAAGCTACTCGTTGAAGTTGCATCCCATCATGACTGCCAGTCCTTGCAGGACGCCCTCGATGACGTATTTGGCTGGTGCCTCTCCAATGACATGGCTGTGAATCCCACAAAAACTAAATTGATCACGTTCAGCAGGAAATTAAATACAGTGTTAGCTGACTACTCTCTTGATGGTAACCGGGTTGAGAGATGCAATACCATCAAGGATCTTGGTGTTCTAATTGACTCCTCCTTCGAGTTTGGACCCCACATAAACCAAATCTGCACCAGGGCCTCTCGTATGCTCGGATTGGTTTCCCGCTCTGCTAGACATGGATTGAGCAACCATGCCTGTATTATCCTGTACAAGTCTCTCATCCTGCAGCTACTCGAGTATGCTTCCTTGGTTTGGTCACCATACCATCTTGGCCATATTTACCATCTTCAGTCGGTACAAAGACGCTTCATCAGGTTCCTGGGATGTCGTGCTGGACTTGACTATCGTGATGTCCGGGTTGACGAGCTCTCTAATATGTATGGCATTCCGAGTCTTGAAAACAGAAGGCGAGTGGCTGATGTGACCTTTCTCTACAAACTGGTAAATAACCAAGTCAACTGCCCCTTCTTGCTGGAAAGGATAAACTTCCATGTTCCTTCGAGAATCACGAGGCATCAGCGTGTATTTGAACTCGACCATACTGGGACTAACTACGCCAGATCCAGTCCCATTCCCCGGATTATGCGCCTCAGGAATGTGATAAGCAGCTCTGCAGCTGACAGCATCCTTGAGGGTACCCCGTAAAAGCACTGTTGTTTTGTTCCTTTGTTGTTGATTTTTCTCTTGTTAATTTTGTGATCTATTGTGTTTGTATTCTTGTATTGATATACTCATTGTTATCTTTTGTTATTGTTATATTTTGTTATTGTTATATATTTTATACATTGTTATTTTTCTGTAACATCTATACCCATTGTTTTGCCATGTAATAATTAGTTTTAAATATTGTTTAGCTATTTTCCTATTTGTAGCGACTTAATGTAAAATGGTGTTTGCCGTTGGTGTTCAATAAATAAATAAATAAATAAATCATCTTCTCTTGGCTAACCTATGACACTGTTTAAATATCACCTGAACCCTGAATGCTAGGAAACAATCAGGGAAGGTTAAATTGTGTCAGCAACTATGGTTGGGTGTTAAAATTAGGCTATATTTGTTGTCAATTTTAGGTGAACCGTATAACTTAAACTTAAGTTTAGTTAATAATCCTGTTTTATAAGGCAGTTGATTGGGAAGAACAAGAGCAAGTTACCAAAATCAAGGGTAGCCGACAGCAAATTAACACTCACAACACAAATTATAGGCTACATTCACCCACACTACAACACTACACGCAAACTGTGGATTACTTAATGGTACAAAAAATCTCTTGAATCTCTTGAAGAAGCAAGCAAGAAGAAAGATGAAAAAGATTTGACAATCTCCTGTCTTCAAGGACTGCGGTGAAGACTTCGATGGTAAATGGTTAAGTGAAAGTAAACAAAATGGTATATTTTGCCACACCAAACAGGGAGATTTACTTATCTGTGGATTTACAAGAGTGGATTTTACAAGACATTAGGTAACATTTAATAGGGTTGAAAATTTAAACTCAAGGTCCTGAGACAAGCTAAGTTATATTCTTTTTAACTTGATGGTTCAATCTGTCCCTGGTCAATGGGCTTTTGAAAAATGTAACAGAAGATCTTAACTTAGTCAGTAACAAGGCTAAAATACTAAAAGATCTAACTAATAAAATTTAGTTAAACTAGGCCTTTACTAAATCCAGCTTTAAATTTTAGCCTAAAGTAATGGGAAAAGCGAATGAACTGGGACTATCAAGTTGTATAACCCAACTTATAAGCTAATTTTGAGTGGTTGTTACTTTTTAATCTAAATAGTCGCTCCAATTAAATTTAAAAAAATAAATTTTCAGTGTTAATGTAGGCCAAAGTTCAAACGATTACTAGGATTAGCAGACGATTATTCAACTATGACGACCAATGAATTAACAGAAATATGGATCCAAACATTTCTTTAAGGATTTTAGGCGATTCAAATGAAAACTTAATATCTTAAATTACCTTGATAGATGTTTCAATATTTGGTTTTTAATTAAAGACACCATTTTTACTTGAAAATGACGTTATCACTCTCAATCACAAACACTCAGCAGACATGACAGTAGACAGTTCTTCTCTTCGTCTCTAATCGTCTGCTGCTTACTTGCGTCTGTGTCAATGACGACTCACCTGCCGCCTGCCGATGCCGAGTACTACCACGACCGTCTTTGACTCGAGGCCGCGGCCTTCGAAGTGGCAACGTTGTAAGTGGTGTGTAACAGAGTGAAAATTTAAAAACGTACGTTTTCATGTCCCTGGCCTTTTACTTCGTAGATACTGGATTTGTAGTTTATTATTATGTGTTTTAATATTTTTTGGGACGGGGGCAACATGTTACACACATTTATTTGGTTTTAAATAGGTTCTTGGTATTTTTTTCGTATTTTTAAAGTCTCGAAATTCACGACCATGACTTGTCCCTAGGGTACACTTTCCAACTTTCACGCTGTTTTAGACTAATTATTCATGCCGAAATATATAAAGCCATATTTTTATGTCATCAATGGTTATTAAACTTACAAAAAAAGGAGCATATTATAATTTTATTGTCATTGCAGACTGACTACCATGACAAAATAAGTCTGTCCCTCGATTTGGCGTCACAACCATTTGGGAAAAATTTTGAACTTTGGAGCACGACAGTGGCAAGCCTGGCGTCGATGGGGATGGAGTCAGTTGGTTTTAGAGACTAGTTCGGGGTGTACATCAGGATTGTAGTGCCGGTCGTTTTGAGTTGAAAGGAGGAATTACAAGATTAATAAAGGAAAGATTGTGTTTTTTTGTAATTTTGGTGTGTCCATGACCGTACGTAGTCATTCGATGAAGTAGACATGGTGTTAATTTTTGTTTATAAGATATTTCAATTGCTAGATTAACCTAGAAGTCCACTTTGTATCCTCGAACATGAGGTGCAGGGCTACCGCCAGAACAGATCAAAAATAACACGTAATTTCACGACCAAAGTTTCACGACCATCGCGGTTTTTTTAACGACCAATCCACCTTTATGGATTATAGTGTGTTTGGTCGTGACAATCACTTTAATATAATTGTAAATTGAACAGTTTAGTTCAATTGAAACACATAGTTTTATTATAACTAACAGTATAATTGAAGGATTGTTTAGAAAGATTTAGATTATTCCAGACAATTCACGACCGTACCGCTTGTCCCTGACCATCACGTTTATGATTTCTATCATAAAAATTTCAAAAATTAAAATATCGTCATATTTCAATGTTTTATACACAAAAGAAGCACACCTCTATACAAACATAACGATTTTTCGGGTCTCAGGTAAGTTTTTTCGGAGTTATACAAACTTAAAAAGATTTTATTGGCTTTTTTATATTTTTTGAGTTTTTTTTAATTTTTTTCTTGAAAGACCAAATATACCAAAAGCTCAGTGACCTTTTTATTGTATAATGGTCATTAAAGTTAATTAGTTTATAGCAAAACATAGTTATAAAAATAATATTAACTATTTTTAATATTCATTTAAAGGTCCGTTATGGTTGTGACAGGATTTTGTGTTTTTCTACTAAAGATGCTCTTTAAAAAGAAAACTAACAAAGATATTGCGTTACCATGGACATTTTATGAAACTTCAAATGTTAATGAAATAAAAAAATAATAAAAGTTTTGAAAAAAGGGGACAAAAATTTGCAAAGTGTTTTTCCTGAAAACGTACGTTTTTAAATTTTCACTCAACAGCTGTTTTGGTTGGAAGCAGCTAATGGTATTTGTGTATTTACGAAAGATTGGTTAACTGGACTATGACAGTATTGACTCCACTTAAAAATGTACAGATATAGATTTTTAAATCATATTGTTTCGTTCTTTAATTCTAAATGTTCTATATTCAATATTTTAATAAGTTTATGTTCACAAATTTAAATCAATAAAGTGCGAATTAATGAGCTAATGTCACCTGTCTGCCATTGTTATTTTATGGGACATCTGTCACTAAACAACACCACTTGCGACGTTGCCAATTCTACCAGGCCGTGGCCTGTAGTTAAAGGTGGCCGTGGTACTACTGAGTCAGATCATAATCGAACCCGGAACCGTCGTGAAGTTAGCGGCTCTTTTCATCGATCGGTCTTGGTGGCCGATGTCATTCCCATAATGTATTCCTCGCTAGGAAGCGACAGGTGATCAACCGCAGGAGACCTGAAGTAGACAGAGATTGCTGCTGCTGCTAGAGAAGAACGCGACCTCAGTTTCAACCGCTGATAGCGCAAATTGGACGCTGTTGGACCACCATCCATGCTCATTCCTAACACCCGTTACCGTTACCGTCACATGGGTGGAATGAAGCATGATGAGGTAAAGCATTTCATGACCCGGTTTTTGTCGGGTCACGGGCACTTCCAGGCCTTTTTGCACATAATGAGGAAGGCCGCCAGCTCGGACTGTCCTGACATTTCAGACATCACCAAGAATACATTCCTCTTTTGCAACCATGTGGCATGTCCGCTGAGCCTCTTTGATCTCTGAGATCGGCATTGATATTACTCCCGAGAACATACAGCTGTGTTCCAAGGAGAGTATACCTGGAACTGTATCAAGTAGTGTTCAACAAGCACCAAGTCCATTACTTCGGGCTAAGAAAGTCGATCTCAATCGGACTTAGCCTTCGGAACCAAATAAAAAGGGAAGTCCTAGTGACATAGTTAAAAAATCTCCAGCCCGACCCGAAGTAGAGTGGGAAACAGTTCCAGACTAGTGTCTTTACAGATTAGGGGGTTTTGAGCTGCTGGTAGTCTGGGGACATTGAGCCTTAATGGTCATTGGCTACGGGGCCTAAACTCATACTTACGGAGTTTAGCGACATCTTCATAAATTTTCTTGCTGATCTCTGGAAAATCGTATATTTATGTATATCTCTAGCCGTGCTTCGATGGTTGGGACTCGGGGAGTCGGTGACAGCCATCGAACCGAACCGAGCCACCAGTGAGATTGGATTTGATTGAGCCATTAGCCAATAGCCATCATCAGCCTCAGCCTGCCACGACCTTCTAGTCGAAGGGGGAGGTGCAGCAGTCGCGCATGCGCACAAGCACTGCTATGATGTCACTGTTATTGCACAGTTTAGCAGTAGTAAACTTTTGGTTCCGTTCCACGGCCACCGTGTAACCGTTATAGCTGTTTGCAGGGTTAGGGGTTAAAAGTAAAGTTCTCCAAACCACTGGCACTGACTAAAGCCGTGAAGCATAGGTCTCTTTCTAGGGCTAGGCTAGAATTATATTGCTAACCATTTAGTGGTTATTTATTATATTATATTGTTAGGCTGCACTTTACTTGACGTCCTACACTCATTTGAATGAAAATATCGATCGATATATCGATTAATCGATTGCTTCATTCGATATATCGTTTGGTTAGTTAGGTAAGGTTAACCTAACCTAACTAACCAAACGATATATCGAATGAAACAATCGAATGAAAATATCGAATCGAAAAAAACAATCGAATGAGTGTAGGACGTCAAGTAAAGTGCAGCCTATTGTTATATTATGTATTATATTATATTGTTATTTATTTATATTGTTTTTTATTTTTATTGTTATTTATTGTTGATTTTTTTTATCGATTGTCTATTGATTTTGTGTTTAAGCTGGAAACTGTTTTTCGCTCATTTTCAAATGGCTCTGTCGTTGGTATGTATGTATAATGCACAATGTATAATGTAATCTTGTTAAACCCACTTGTAAAATGGTGTTGCCGTTTAATAAAAATGAAAATGAAATGAAATGAAAAGTGGTGGATTTTATTATTATTTTCGTTTATGCCTATATTACTATAGGATGTGTTGGTATACACTTTTACACCCTTTTTAGCTCAGTACACATATTTATTTTTAGTATCGATATTTTACTCCGATATTGCTACTATCAAAATTTCACTCCAATATTTTTTTTTAGTAGCGCATAAATTAGTATATTAACTCAGATATTTATTTTTTACCATCATTTTATTGTTTTACTAAACCTCGATGTTTTTCTCCAATATCTATCAATATTTTGACTTCGATATTCTTTTGACATCAATGTTTAAAGGTCGATCGATACTAATATCGACGTTACTGATGTTTCGATGTCCCAACACTGTGCTAAGTCCTAGAAATACAAGTTAATCTAGCCTTAGAAGTACCGGTAGGCCTATAAGAGATACATCTACATACATTCGTCAGTTTGAAAAACAAACTCTTCAGCTTCAAGTGAGATGTTGATATTGTGAGTTTGTAGAATATGATTTCTAAGGTGTTTGTACCACCAGAGAAATTGTTGATTGCATTCTTTCTCGGGGCATAACAACTTGGACGAGGTAAGTCTTTTGTTAGTACCACTGTGCACATTTCTTTGGTGCCTTTTTAATGAATACGCCGAAGAAAATAGTTTATTACAGGTTTTACATTCCATATTTAAAAATTAATCAAAGTTAACACAACTCATCCTTGGTCTAAGTTAGTGCAAACTTTAACTCGAAGTTCGAGGTTGTTAAAGGAAACAAAACAAACAAACCAAAATATCTGTCAAACTGAGTGAGTATGCGTGGCAACTCCGTTAACGGTTACAACGTTACAAGGTGTAGTGACCGGGAACGGGAAGAAACGCAATAGGTTCTCAAAACTACTACTGCTACTTTGAAAATAACAACAGTGACAGCTTGTGCGCATGCGCGACATTTGCACCTCCCCCTTCGACTAGAAGGTCGTAGGGGACCGCGTCTCGTTGTCCCTCCGTCTCGTTGTCCCTCCGTCTACTTGTACCTCGAGGCCTAGGGACAACTAGTCGTAGGTACAACTAGACGGAGGGACAAGTAGACGGTGGCTCACCCGACTAGTTGTACCTGCAGATTTTTAGGAGGTACAACTAGACGTAGGTACAAGTAGACGTAGGTACAACTAGACGTGTATCCCACCGACAAGTAGTATCACCTAGCTTGTACGGATGCGACCAGTTGTCCCTACGACTAGTAGTCCCTACGACTAGTAGTCTCTACGACTAGTGGTCCCTCCGTCTAGTAGTCCCTACGTCTAGTTGTACCTACGCGTATTTTGCGTCCTTA